AGCAAGGTAAAAAGCAAACCTTATAAATTCAATAGAGAATTGCTAAATTAGTTTGCAGTTTCAAAAGTTCTTCATTTCATAAAGTTTCATTCTATCAACAGATTCAGTCTTCTTCATCTCCTTAAATTCTATGAATTAGTTCCCTTAAATTTATGCTGTCATTTTTTTCAGTTACAGAATCAACAACAGTTACCATCATCACAGAACATAACAAAAAGCAAGATGGAAAACCACAACAAAACAACTGCCAAACAAGTTAAAGTGTTTTCCCTGAATACGCTTCCCCTACATGGTGTGGGTGGGTGTGTATAAATATATCTGGAAGATGAGCTGATCTGTGTTTATGTACAAGTGTCTCCTGCTTGGTTTTCTGTAGAAAATGCTTTCATCAGCAAACAAAAATGCATAAATGATTATAAAATTAGACAATTTTCTTTTGGAGTGACCTCCCCCCACCACCACCAAAAAAAATAAAAAAAAATAAATAAAAATAAAGAGCACTTCTGGTAAACTTCAAATAAAATTTACTCAGTATATATACATAAGCAATTTTTGTAATGATGAAGTTATGCATACAGGTTATTTGTAAAATATGTTTAAATTATTTTTTGACAGCATATTTTTAAAACAGGCTGGGATCATTTGGAAAGCAAAATATGAAAGAATTTGTTTTCTTAGAAGTCAAAATTATAATATTTGAGAAGAAAAATATTTGTTTTCAATATACACAACTTCCATCTGTTGCTAAAATACATATATAATTATATCTAAAAGGATATAATTTAAGACGTTTATTTATAAGTAATTATTAACATTAAAATAAAAACAATCTCATTTATTTTTCCTCACCTGCAAATTTAAGTTTGAGATTATATGCCAAAATATGAAAATTACAAGAGATTAAAATCTGGTTGCTAAAATATGCTGTTTCTGTTTGAGAAATTATATAAATTTAGTATTAAAAAAATACAAAAAAATTTTATCTGAAAATTACTGTTCATATATTTACATGAATAGTAGATGTCATATTTCAGTATTTAAATGAAGGACTTAAAAAAAACAATAAAGAATAAAATGTGTGATGATAAATCATAAGCCATGCAAAAGAAAAAGTGAATCAGATGACAGAGTAATCAAATGAACACAATATCCAATAAGTGGATGAATTTCAATTTTGTGCAGAGAGTATCACTCTCTGAGCATGATACTGAAAGAAAAGTCAATAAACAAAAGTACAATACAGCCATTGCATTGAAAAATGAAAGCTTGTTTGAGCTTTGGCAATGAGACTTCATTAAGATTACAAAATACATCATTTGGATGTGTCTATGTAACAGTAAAAGTTATCCACACAACATAAACATAAATGAAGAGATGAAAATAAAATAAATAAAAAAGCACTTAAAAGAAAAGAAATACAATGCATATACAACACAGTTTACCATATTACCTTACTTGATAGGCTTCCTGGTCAGTCATCCTAAAATTTATATCAAGTCTTGTTCTACATTAAACAAACTGATACAAAAACAGAGAGAGAAAGAAAAAAAAGTTGTTCATGATTAAAAATAAAAAAAATGATCCATACATTTTGCCAAGAAAATTCTATGCACATCATATCAGTGGAGATTTGCATGCAGTCATTACTAATAGCCACAGGAACAAACATAGCAATAAGACGGTGCCAAAGAAATCAAAATTTAGGGGAAAAAATTCAATTTTTTCTCTTCTTCAAAAAGAAATTAAAGGAAAAATAATATAATTTGCCAGCCAATCTAAAATGAATGTAAAGAGCACTACAGAAGTTGATGAGCACATGTACAGTCACAGAGATAGACTAGTTTTAAGAGTTCAGATCAGAGCCACAATTCTGCCACGTGAGGCACCACAAGGCAAGATAGTTTAGTGTGATGCAAATCTGCCTCCAGTCACTTCCAACTGAAGGTCTTCCAGGGCATCAGATTCAAACCAGAAAAAAAACAAAAAAAACAAAAAACTCTGGACTCCCACCTCCAACTAGCTGTGGTATAAAGAAACAAATATCAGAGAAGAAAAAGAACAAAAATAATACAAAATGAGTGATTCATTTAAAAAAGAAAAAATTAAAATAATAATAATGATCATCAAGCTGTTCTGGAAATATTAAAGGATATTTTTGTGTTCAAAATGTTTAGAATAAGAAAAGTTAATTGCTAGCTTTTTCAGTATCACCACATTTGTCAAAGAGAAATAAAGATTCTAAAAGATGAAAATAAAGACAAACTGATTGTCTTCTATTGAATATATTAAATATATTTGTATACAAAAATGTACGTAAAACTGGCAGAGCAGATTTTTCAAAATCTAAGTGAAGAAAATGATTTCTAAATGAGTAGGCATCTGACAGAACAGTGCTTTGAGTTTGTAGTGAAATTCAATTTTTGATGAAGTTGATATTTTTAGAAGAGTTTTTTTGTGGTTCAAAATTTCATAATTGCCCAAATTAGCAGATTCATAATTGAAACTTGTTATTTTTATTACTATTTCCTTAAGAGTTAGTTTTTGTTTTATACCAGCATAGCAAATTCATCAGATATCAAAAAATCTTAGAATTCTATTTTTCTCTTGGATTTTTCAATCTTTTAAAATTTTTTAAATCTGATGATTATAATGATTTTTTTGTTATCTCATAGATTTACTTTGATGAGTGTCAAATAAAAATGGTTTTAAAGATATATTAATAAAAATAATACCTAATTTCAATTATTAATCTGCTCACATTGGCAAATTTTTAAAACTATATTTTTTATGTAGACACAAATGTGAAATATAGAATTTATTGTCTGGCTATACTGGCTATTCTCTAATAAAAATTAAGATTTTTCCTTAAAATACTTGTTATTCTCAAATGGTCATAGATTCTACTGAACAGATATGTTTTTTATTTTATTTTCAGACCAAAAACTGTATACCAATTCAGGGTTATCTTATGCTTGTATAGTAAAAATTCTTATTGATGTAAAAGACTTATTGATGCCAAAGGAAACTTTAATACCTAAGTGCTGCATTTTAGAGAAATAAATTATAAGAAGATAAATCTAGTCATGATTGAAAATTAGAAAGCAATTTCATAACTTGAGAAAAAAATACATAGAGATATAAGAAAAAATAACCAAAAATGTTTAAGAAAATAATTTAATCTGAAGAATAGAAAACTGATCTTTATAAAGACATCTATATTCGTCATCTGTTAATTCCCAAATCTCAATTGCATAAGAATGGAACTTTTAAAGAATTTACTCTTTAGATGTAAGTTAGTGTAACAAAGAAGCAATAATGAAGAGAAAATAAGACAAAAAAGGGTAATTTCTTATAATGAAGACACACTGCAGACAGTAAATATGTAAGTTTCTTCTATATGAAACAGATATGAGTTAATCAGTATTTAACAGGCCAACTAGCAATAAAATCAGTCCCTCCTCCTATTAGAGAGATATACATATATTTTATAGCATTGAATCAATATAACAAACATATAATCAACTATAAATCTTTTCAAGGAACCATATAGAGTAAGTTATTTGTTCATATAAAATAAAATTGAATAAAAAGTAGAAATCTTAAGTCAGTCATACATTCAAATCAACAACTGATAAAAGAGTCAGAAGCTAACAGAAAGAAATATCTTGATTCCATAGAATGATTACAGATTCAGATAGAGAAGAAACTGAAATAAGCATTCCAATTCTCACCTAATTCAACATTTCATCCTGACAGATAAGCTTAAACCTGAATCAAATAGATATTCTAAGTAATGCCATGTATATATATCTTGATTATTATTTTTTTTCATGAGTTTATAACATTTCTAACTATTGTCTAACATATTAAAATTATCCCAAACATCTGCTTCCCAAAGTTTAAAAGTCTTTCTCTATTCTTGTAATTATGGAAGCATTAATGAATGACAAATTTTCAGAAACAACAAAGAATTCTTTTAAGATCAAATAAGTTTTACCTGCTGAACAGACCAAAGGAAAAAATTGAAATATACTATAAAAAAAAAAAAAAAAAATGACACTGACTTTTTAAGTAGCACCTTGGAAACCAAATGAATATTATTGCAAAAAAAGATTTCTAAGAAAAATAAAAGAATATTGGAGGAGAATATTTTCTGGTTGGAATTAGATGTTGAATGTAATTTTTGTTCTGTAGTAGAATTTGGTTCAAATGAACTTGTGAAGAATAAAGCATCTTGTAATCAGATGGAGAGGAGGATTTTAAAAGTACTTAAAATGTGATGAATGCAAATAAAACTGTAGAAAAGTTGGATGAAAAAGAAAATGATTTACTTGATAGAATCTGACAAAAGATTTGTACCACTTACAGTAAAACAAATACTTCATGATAGAAAAATACAATGAAATTATTTTAAGCATATCTTAATTTTTCTTCAGCATAACAAGCAATAGATTAAATGGATATAAAACAAAAATTCTACTGAATTTCAAGCATTAACAGTAAACTAGACAATGTATTAGCCACAGTAGGCAAAAATGAAATGGCTAGAAATTAATTCTATAAGAATTTAAAAATTTACCAATGTAGTGATAATGTGAACACAAAAGCTTGAAAAGGTTAGAATACAAAAAAGCAAGCAAAACTATATTATCCTTATGACTATAAATATAGTGTCTTCTTAGAATAAGTAATAATGGTTAATAAACTAAAAGGCTCTATAATTGAATACCAGCTATATAAATAGGACAGTTCAGGATAGTCTATTAGGTACTCTAAAATAAACATGTAATAAGCTAAGCAGAGACAAAAAGTGGTGATAGTTGAAATGTAGCCAACATATATAGTGAGGAGGTGGGCACAAAAAGAGAAAGAAAGAGAGAGAGAGACCTGTACAAGAGTCCAAAAGGGTCTAGAGAAAGAATTTGATGCCCAGGAAAAAGAACTATCATTCCCCAAAAGTACAGTGGGCAAGAACAGGATAGGAATTATCAGACACTCACCAAACTTTAGCAGCCAGACAGTACTTAAATCATCTACAAAAAAGTACATAGTTCCTGGTGTTAGAGATAGAGGGTGATAAAAAAAAAAATGTTCGCCCTTAAGACAAATGAAAAATAAAGAAAGCTAAACAAAAACAATAATTGCATTATTACTTTATCTTTTTTATCTGATTTTTTAAGGAATATTTACTTATTTTATTAATGAGAATCAGGCAAAGTTGTTAAGTTATTTTATTAATGAGAAGCAGGCAAAGTTGTTTGGAAGTGACATCAAAAGGGAGGTAAATACTGTAGTCACATGTCATTCAGGAGATTCTTAGAGACTTTATTTTTCAAATAGCTCTCCCAAATATGTAATATTAATGGTATTTTGCTAATACATTTGACAACATTTGGGTTCAACATAACTACTTAGGAAGTTAAGAAACAATTTGGGATAATTTTGTAATTTAAGAATTCAAACTGCATATGTATTTCCAAACATAATTATGAATTATAGCTGAGAATATGAAGTGAGAAGGAAAGTATGCCTGCTGCCAAACAACATTAACCTTTAAAAATAACCATAAATGATTTCATTATCAATTTCCAGTTACAGATGGATATAAATTCAAATTTTTTAAAGTTGTGAAATTATAGAACCAAGATATTAATATACTGAGATTAAAGCAACAATAACAATAATAAAATCAGAGAAGAAAGAAGCAAGAAAATATTGATGTGATATAAATACAGCTAGAGAGAAAGAATGAATGAGAGTGAACATAATAAGATTAGAGATAGCAATGATGCTGCATCCCACTGCAAGATGAGGAGGGGTAACATGTGATAAAAGAGAAAATATCACAACTGGTTAAAAGGGAACTGGCAACAGGTATTTTAACAATAAAGGATAGTGAACAGAATTAATGTAAAAAAATTAAATAAAAGAGAAAAAGAAATAGGGAAAAAAAGCCAAAAAAGCAGCAAATGGATAGAGCACAAAAGATAGTGTTGTTCTGATTTTCTCCAAATTGAAATGGGTGCCAACACTGAGAAAAATAAATTGTGTGTGCACAGTGGATAATGTGAGTTTTCTTATTTATTATGCATAACAGACAAGGGAGTTGAAAACCAGTGAGTACTTGTGGTATAATAAGTAATAAAGTGTGCATGTATGTATGTATGTATATATTGATATATAATTGTATGCATTGATAAAGAACAGCTCCATGCAGTGTTTGTAATACAGCACAGATTATAGAGATCTCTTCACTTCCATTATCATTAAGGAAAATCACTGTATGGTATAACTTCTAATATATATATATATATATATATATATATATATATATATATATATATATAATTTTATATGTGTGGTGCTTAATGGAAAGTGCTCAATATCAGTGATAGATCTAACATAATAAGTTGTATGGATATGAGATCATGACACTGGGTTTCATGCTTTTGCAATCATCAGCAAAAGCATGAAACCCAGTGACATAAACTTATATATATCAGGTCTGATATGTGAGGTTGAAGTATATAGTCAGTTAATGTTTATCTAAATGCCATAGATTATCACTACTTGTGCCTCTCAATGTATGATACTGTCATATTAAATGAAAATTGTCAGATCTTATATATTATCAAATACAATAGTTGTAATATTTTGTAAGCAGATAATTTTTTGGAACATTTAATATTCAGGATTAGTGGTGATATAGTTTTTCAAAAGATTTTTGGTTAAAAAGAAATCATATTTACTTGCTTTTTATACATCTTTATAAAATCAAAACATTAGGTAATTTTAGATAATTCTTTTTTAATGAATGAGGAAATTTGATGAATCTATTGGGAAATTTGTTGTCTAAAACAGCTGACAATTTGATTACTTGTGATAAAAAAAGGTTTCTAATTTTAACCTTGAAAAAATTTTTTCTATCTTTATACTTTTGCTCCAGATTTTTTTCTTTAGCATAAAACATGCTAGAGATTAAAACTGCTAGAATTTTGTCATTCAAATATTGAACAGGTTTAATACTGTTAAACTTTAATCAGCAATAATCAAGTAGCATTTTCACCATAGTTAAGCTATAATAAAGTTTACATTGAAGGAAATTAAACAGTAACAAATTGATGAAAGCTGAAAACCTAAATAAATAAATAATTACAGTACATAAAAAGTATAGCAACGTCTAAATATATTGGAGATATAAGCTAAAAACGTATAAAGTTTCTTGATTGTTTAAAAGTTCAAATTAAGATAAATACTAATTTAAGAGCACTAAACAATTTTCATATTCTTAAAGTATAAGTTGGTAAAAGTTATGTGAACCTTGTTAAGTCTGTAAAAATAGCAACTGAAATGTTCACATGTTGGAAGAGGTGTGAAGGGAAATTAAATTTAACAACCAAAAAGAAATAAATTGACAATTCAAGAGAAGAGTAGCACATGGGAAGAAGACATAAAAAAGAAATATACAAAGTCAGTTTTATCACAAATGGAATTGTGATAGAAAGTGACAAGCAATAGAAATTTGACATGCAATCTGAATGCAAACAGACAAAATAAGAGAAAGTTCCCAGCAATCAGAGAAGAGCAATGGACTGATTCAGAAATGCTGGCTTCATTCCATATCAAAATTAGTGAATCAAGCTTGGCTTGGGTGGGAAGTAAGTCATGATGATCAATGTCATCAATGACAAGTTTAATGTGGTTTTAAATGGGCAGCAGGAGAGAGAGAGAGAGAGAATTTTATCAAGAGAATTATTTTTTTCTATTACTATGACATTTCAATATGTAAATTTTGATTGGGAGATTTCGGTTGCCAGATTGGTGACAGTTGTTACAAGAATTAAACATGAAAACAGATGCTTGCAAAAATGATACCAGTTGCAAAGTCCATAATATCCATGTAGCATAAATATCTGTATACAGTTAATCAAAGATGTATCGTATAAGATAATAATAAATTTGTTTTATCTACACACTTTTAATCCCTTTAAAGTATTCTAAGAAATTAATGACATTAGAAATGTTTAATTCCATATCACCACAAGCATTCATTATAACAGCCTTTTGAAGATTCAAATATTTTATAACATCTTTTTCAGCAATGTTTTCATTTCCTGATGAATATTACCAATACCAAGGATATAGAAAATGAATTTAAAGAATCTGCAAGCAAATGACCCTCATTCTCTAAATAAGTGACTGTAAGTGGAAATTTTTCTAACATCTGTTTCCCAAAGTTTAAAGGACTTTCTCTATTCTTGTAATTATAGAAGCATTAATGAATGACAAGTTTTCAGAAAAAACAAAGAATTATTTTAACATTGAATATTCTGAAATAAGTTTTACTTATTGAACAGACTAAAGGAAAAAATTGAAATATACTATGAAAAAATGACACTGACTTTTTAAGTAGCACCTTGGAAACCAAATGAATATTATTGCAAAAAAAGATTTCTAAGAAAAATAAAAGAGTATTGGAGGAGAATATTTTCTGGTTGGAATTAGATGTTGAATGTAATTTTTGTTCTATAGTAGAACTTGAACTGATCCTACAGACATCTACCTTAATAATTGTGGATATAGCTTTGTGCATTACATACTGAGACAGCTGTGTTATTCTACAAAATTGACAAATGTCAATAATACTTGTTTCTATGGCAAGTCACTGAAAGTCACCTAAATAGGTTAAGCAAATGATCATAGATACAAGTTTGTAATAAAAATTCTGCATAAAAAGACTTTGCATTTTCAGAACATGATACTCAGCTGATTGAAAGCATGTATTTGCTGGAAATTATAGACCAAAAGCAATAAAGACATAGCTTAGAGTAGACATAAATCTTTGTTGATAACAATATTAAATGGTGGGCTGATTTTGTTTAGTGTGATATCAACTTCTATGAATTATTTAATGCCAAAATCTAAATATTTTGAACATAATTTTATAACTTCAACTAAATACATTTTGAATACAATTGCATGCTTTCAAGTACAGATAAATATATTGTTGGCCATTTTGCTTTAATGAGGTTATGCTGGTAATTTTACTATAAAAATGTATTTTTTTACTTTCATAGTGTTTGTTTTTGTTTGGGGGTCCACTATTTGCCCATAGCTGGGACCCTAACAGGTGCTATCACTCAGGACTGAATATTAAATGTTTATTTAGTCATTGCTGCTGTGATAGATAGAAAGAGCCAATCCCAGTTATTCCTGGTCATAATATAGTGAAAAAATAACTTCTAGTCACTATGAAAATGTAACGATTGAATTGTTATTCAAGTAAAAACATTGGTATTTTAAATTTGTAACATGTTCATGCCTAGTAATCTGGACAAGTCTATTTATATTTTGTTATCAAAATTGCAGTCTATCACAGTAGATATTACTACTGTGTTTGGACTAATGGTAGTGTATAAAACTGCAGAATGACTAGTTTGAGCTTTGTTCCTTATTCATTGTTGATGAGACTTGTTATTTCACTAAGACAAAGATAATTCTTTTCTTGACATTGTCTACCAAGCAATGACTAATTAGGCTGCAATTTATAAATGCTTATCACTTTGGTTTTAAGGAAGAATGCATACTCTTTCAAATACATGCTTCTTATAGTATCCAAATTGTTTAGTTCTATCAAGAAGGTTTCAGAACCTGAAGTCCAGAAAAAAATGATGGTGCCATCCAAATGTTAAACTTTTACCAAAATTAGCAGAAAAAGAATATAATGCAAGAAGGAATGAGTGAAATAACTTGAAGGTTTCACAAAAGTGAATACATAAATGAAAAGAGAATAGGTAACAGGAAGGGAGTTTACATTCCATGGGTACATGGGTTCTGATCTGAACAATGTACATAACATAGCAGCAGCAGTAGTAGTAGCAGCAGCAGCAGTCATTGGGAAGGGGACTTGGAAGACAGGATGTGAGGTGTTTGGGTGGGAGGTAGGCTTGAGCCACTAAACAATGCAGCTAACAAATGATGTTTGTATATGTTTTGGAATTTCTTTTTATTATTTTGGTTGAAGTGATTTTTGGCACCCACCTAAGCCGACTGAACGTCTTCGTGTTAACAGACCACCTTCCTTGGCAGCATTTGCTATGTTTGCCCCAACCTCAGAAAAGGCTCGTTTTCTCGTCAGTGACTCACCGGCATAGGAACTGCCACCGGATTTAAGTGATGACGATGAATACAGTTCTTGGAATGAAAGATCTTGAATGCTGTCAGCCCGCAACTAGAAAAGAAAACATAATGCATTTTGATTACTTTTACTTCAGACTCAATTAGATAATCATCAAAAACTTATGAAGAATAATATAAACCAAACAGAAGTGTATGTGTGTGTGTGTGTGTGTGTGTGTGTGTGTGTGTGAAAGAAACTAAAAATGTCACTCTATAACAAACATGAACTATTTTGAATAATTTGATGGTCCCCAATCATTACAACAATATCAAATATAAATTAAAAAAAAAAAAAAAAGAGATAAATCATGTAAAAGTAAAAAGGCATGTTCATTGCAATAATTGCTATTGTAGGGATGAAGCATGAAATGGCTGGAGCAACAGGATATGGCATTGCAAGAGAAAAGAAAACAGCAGAAAGTAAAAGACATTAGAGCAACATAATAACAAGGCATGACATGACAAAGGCAAAAGTAGAAGGAACAATGCTACAGCAAGAATAAAATGAGTCAAGGTGTGAAAATAGCAACGGATCAAAGCATTGCTATAGCAACTGCACAAGGGAAGGGCAGTGATGAAGAATATGTTTAGCACAATGGACCATTATAACATGATTTTTTAATCCATGCAGAAGAGCTTTACTGTTACTATAATGTCCTCATAACTGGAAAGGCTATGTATATAATAGCAAAATTACTTATTATATTTAAAATAGCAACAATATTACAGAGATAAAGAAATATCTTACTGGGTTGTTGCTATAGTAACTGAACAATGTGGGACATTGTGTTATAAACATCAAATGCAAAAAATAAGAAAAAAATAAGATGTGTGTGTAGGGGGGATATTTAAAAGTCTAATAGTGAAAGCATTTTTATTTGACAGAACATTGGCAATTCTGATGGAAACAGTATCACCAGAAAAGACAGGAGTATGAAGAGATAAAAGAAAAACAAAAATGGTCATTCACAATATTGGATAAAAACCTCAGTGCAAAATATAAGAAACATAGTCATAAATAGAGGGCACTTGCTAAGCTGATGTAAAAAGGAAAATAGGGAAGATAAAAATATAAAATTATCTTTGCTGGTAAAAAAAGAATAGAACTGAAATGTGAAAAAAAAAAAAAAAAAATATAACAAAACTGAGTGACCCACTGTAGTGGAAGTGGGGTGGGGTAATAGTGTAATATACAAAAAAAAAAATAAATAAAATTGAATAAATAAACAAACAAATTTAATTGAACAAATAAATAAATAAAATTGAAAAAAAAAAACTATAATAGAGGAAGTAAAAAGAAACAAATACAAACAAAAAAAGGGAGGACAACCACAATAGTGAGAAGAACATATTTCATTCAGTGATATAGTTTGTGAATTGTGCTCTTGAAGGAAATAGATATGAGATTAGGTGGGAGAAAAACAATGTCTGATGAAAACCATGAAATGGGCATAGGGGTTTTGGAAAACATTTTCAGTATATTGGTGTACACAAAAGTAAAAACAAGTTTTTAAAGCAAAAAAGAAAAAAAAAGGGTATGAAAGAGCCCATATTGGAGTATAAAAGAAAAACATGAGATTGATGTTGAGAGTAACTAACTGATAAAAGAATTAGAACAGAAATGCTCAAATTTTATACCAGTCTTTAAAAAAGTTATATTTTCTGATATCTTTACCAGTAATTTCCACTCTTTACTTGGTAGAATACAAAAAGAATTGGCTATAAATTATTGTTCTTTTAATGAACATCTTTGAAATTACACACACACACACACACACACACACACACACACACACACACACACAGAGGGATTAGATAAAAATATTAAATAATAAAATCCTTTAAATATTTTGTACATTCAAAAATCAAGTTCACAAAATGTTTAAAATAACATATTTTATGCATTAATATTTAAATACTTTTAGATACCAACAAGATTTTGAAGTAGAATGGAGATTACTTATAAAAACATAAATTTCACTTTTAAAAGAATATTTAACAAAAATCAACCTAAAAGAACCTTCATGAAAATTTATATACTATATAAAACAAACAAAACAAAACAAAAAACTTCATATTATTGTTTCATATAACAGAAATTGGTTAAAAATTATTTCCTAATTATGCAACTATTTTCAAGGATACAATACAAACCAAGAACATGATGATACATTTTACAGTAGTTAAGATAAAAGGGAGCCTAGCAACAAAGAAATCTATGATTACTTTTTAGTGTCAGGTTAGTAAATTTCATTAATAATTCATCTTGTAGAGATAACTTTCTTGTGATAAGTTCTTAATATCTTAGAATCAACTTTATAAAGCAAAATTATCAACCATGAGTAAGATTTATGTCATCTTGAGAAAACTGAACACTATTTCTCGGTGACAAAGAGACTGGCAGATACTTGCTCAAACTTATACTGCCAACAATATTCCAGCTGTTTTTACAAATCATTTGTTTACAGTGTCTTCAAAAGAATAAAAATAAAATAATGTATTTCTGCAGATGAATCATTTTTCTTTACCACAAACTAGTGATATTCAACAAAATCATTTGCAAAGCTGCTGTCATTTTTACTGCAGATTAACATACATGATTGTGACACATTATCAGAATGATCAAGAATAACTAATATCCAAAGGGCCATTACATATAATGATTATAATTTAGAAATTCATTTAGTTCTGTTTAAGTAAGGTGGAAAATTAATTTTGGTGATAAAATTGAAATAAATATAAATAGTTATAACAAAGAATGTTCTAAGAACATGTGGAAATATAATTTTAACAGGAATACCATTTGGTTACTGAACACTAATTTATGACAAATGTAATTTGGATCTTTTGCATTGTGCATCTGAAGTGATAATGTTAAAATAGTTTTTATCTTGTCTAGTTTTAATGCAGTTTTTAAATCTATGTAATCAATGTAAGCAAGAAATGATAGCAACAACTAAAGTTATAAATCATGTAGCAGAATGAATAAACAAGGGAGGGACTAATTTTCTTTAATAAGAGCAATCTAAGAATCAAAGACAGAAATAAAGTTTCCAACCTTTATAAGATAGAAAAATGGTTGTTAATAATTTTTATGCTTGAAATTGAAAGAGATCCATGGCCAATGAATTAATTAAATGCATGCTGACACACAGAGATGCTGAAAAGTTCTTGTTCTGACCCACTTCCAAAAATCTGACTAAACATCAGATTTTTTTCTTTTTGTAAAGGTTTTTAGTCAAGTTTAGAAGTCTTCAATTCTCACTTGTATGTGTGTGTGTATATGTATGTATATATATATATATATATATATATATATATAAAGTTAGATTTAGCAGACGAGGAAATAATTGAATGAGAATTTTATCAAGGAAAAGATTTTTATCAAGATAGTGAGGGATAAACATATCAAACATTAATGCATTGCTAATTAAATTTTTAACAATGGAAAATGAATAAATCTTTAGTCTCAAGAAAATACATGTACCTACTGAAATTTCACTCAAGCCAAGTACTACGAGGCAGTTTCTATATAAATAAAACAAAATGCTAAGTTGACTGAGATTCAATAGCCTCAGTTTTATACATTTTGAAACAAACCAATTTTATAACATTTTTATCTTTCTTTACTCATCGCTAACAAAACCAATAAAGATCTAATATATACACACACACAATTTGATTTTGTTTGAATAAAAAATAAATTTGAAAACTTTCAAGAAATACCCATCTTTTAAGTGTACAGCCATTTGATAACTGTTTATTTTCCTGTCTTCAGAAGTAAATGTACTGTAAAGCATTCCACTACCATAAAAAGATATTGTAAATAATCAGAACAAAATAACCTAGTCAATGTTTGAATGTCATCATACTAAGACTTATTATCATATGTATTATGCATACACACAACATACTGGAACCTTAATTTCAAATAACCACTCATAATTAGAGTAAACAACAAAATTCAAATTTAGGCAGACTGATAAGCACTAAACTAAAAATAGGAAGATTTTAAATTTAATCTTCATTTGGAAATTTAGTATGCATAACTAACTATGCAATACTTCTTTTGGTGACATTGGAAAGCTTATTGCTACACTGAATTTTTAAAAATACAATGAAACCATAGAGCAACAAGTTGTTCATTTAGAATTGCCTACTTGCAAAGTGTTGGTAGTTATAGTGTTAAGGTCTCAAGAAAAAAAAAACTTAAAAAATAAACATTTTGAAACTGGTGTTGCTAAGTTTTGTTTACACAGCTTGTTTAACTTACCAAAGTTAAAGTGATATGATCAAAGTAATGGAGTAATTAGTTTTAATTTAAGATTCACTGCTATTTCAGTTAAATGGAATTCAATTTTGAGACATATTTGTATAAGATATAAAAATAACTATTATAGTTGTTGTTATTTATAATTAAAATAGCACAAGAACATAATTGTAACATTTAAGATTATGGAGATTTATGATCTAAAGTTTATGTACTTGTAAATGAAAGAATGCTATTTTGTTGAAGCACAAAAAATCACATATCAATGACTTAAAAAGGCCTTGAATTGCTGAGAAACATACAAAAAAGTGATTTAAAGCACAAATGTTAATTTCCCCAATAATGAAGTTTACATTTATTAAACAAATTGATCTATGAATGTCTTTTTTCTGATTTTGAGTAGAAGCAAACATTGGTTTTAGATAGGCAAAAGTTTGAGGTAAATTTGACTGATCTAAGAAAATGAGGAGAGATGTCTAAAGGGTGAGAAAGATTAGTTTGAGAACAGTTTAGTAAGTAGCACTTAGAACTAAGGTCGCCAAAAACAAGCTGCATGGCAACAACTGCCATTGTTTCACATTACAAAAGCATTTTCCTGGCACAATGAAAGCAAAGCAAAGTTGCTTTTATTTACAAAGAAAAGAGAAAAACAACTTGGAGTTGTTGCTTAAATTTCTGTTAGGAGTGACAGGGGGGTGAGTAGGTAATGAAGTGAAGGATTCTTCAATGGTATGGAAGAGGAAGTCTTAACTCATGATAGAATGAAGAGATGGACATGAAATGGAAAGGGTAGGATATAAGAGGTGAAAGAAAAAATGAGAAGTGAGTTGGATGTCATTACTACAGCAACATTACATTGATGAAAGATGACAGTGCAAATGAGCAAGAGAAGATTCATACAAATCAACCCCCAAATGGATTGCAAGAACATAATGCACAAAATATATATGGGAGAAACACTTAAAACATTTGAAATATTTAAAAGAGGAAAAAAAATCAAGGTAGATGGAATCAGAAAGAAGGCAATTATTTTTACAAATAGAAATAAGACAAATTTTGTTGCAATCGTTTAATCTGGCTTAGCAAGAATGTCTAACATTGAATGATGAATCCTTACAATTTAAAGTTTTTATTATCTAAGTAAGTAATTCAAACAACTGCTTTCTAGTTTATTACTACAAATAATTCGTAAATGATTTGGAGCACACATATATAAACTTGGTAATTAATAATGTGTGTAAGCAATACCAGAGATTTTGATGAACTTAACAGTAATAGATTAAGATTTAATGTATTTTACAGTCACTATGAATAAGTATTAGTACAGAATGGTAAACATTAAGGTTTTTATTCTTAGTATGTACTTTGTTAAATTTATTATTGCCAATGCAAGTCAGAGAGAAAACCTGACTAAACTTTTAAAATCTGTTCTTCATAAAAGTTCAAATAACTATATTATGATAGACAGGAGATGTCCAGAATATGAATAGGATTTTACATATTGACACTTAAATTTTGAAGCAAACATCATTTACCAATTCAAAATAAATGCATACTGATATTAAATATAACAAATAATATTAGAAATAAGGTTTCAGTTATGAATATAATTGCTCTTTCATAACAATTTTTGAAATTTTTGTATAAGCATATATTCATTAATTGTACTCAGTTTTCAGACTGAAAAAAGGCAACCATTTTTTGTGTTGCTATACTTGAATTCTTGCTCTCCCTTGAAATGTGATTCTGATTAAGAGCATCCATGCCAATAGAGGGAAGTCAAAATGCAAGGAGGATTGTGGATGGACAGAAAAATTGCATGCCATAGAGTTAAGGTTAAACATGCATTCTTAGTAAAAGGTTATTTGTTCATTCACACTCAGTGACCCTTTTTATGAATTATAGAATTTACATCAACCACTGCTATGCTGAACTTCACAAAAAGTGGGGTTCTCATACTAAACAAATGTATACCATTGATAAAATGGTATATATCTCAAGAGTCCTTTTATAAATACTATTGCCATTCTCTTTGCTTCAGCAGTCAACTCCTAGATACTTTTAAACAATCTACAACTTTTAAGACCTCATGATTAAGTTAACAAATATTTGTTAGCAAACACATATTTGTGCATTTATAAGTGGCAAATAGGGCTTTTCATTGTATATCTAATGCACAAAAATAAGCTCCACAAAAGAAGAGCTTCATATTACACAATCCACGTAGGCATTTGGAAATATTATATAATCATTGTAATTAACTATTTGCAATGCCTATGACCAATTTTTATCACCAAATCTTATTGGTAGAAGATTAACCTTATAACTCTCATATATGATCCTTATTAACCAAAGTAACTTTCCCTTTTCAAATAAAGTAAATCTATGAAAAGTGGAAGGTGATAGTCACCCACTCCATTAACTGTAGATAAAGGACCAAAGTTAATGACCAAAAAAGATTGAGATTTTAAAAGAGAAGGCAAAAACATTAAAATAGTAACACATTCTCAGTTTAGATAAGTTAATTTATTTATAAGTAAAGATAAAAATTAAAATCAAAAAAGAAAAACACTACAATTTTTTTTTCAGACTTAATTTAAAAAATTTCATTTTTCATTTTCTTTTTTTTTGGCTACCAGAAAAATGATGTGGATTTGCAACATTGATTAGAAGAGGAGGTTATAAGAAAGGAAGAAGATTTTTACATAAGCCTCATTTACTTAAGAAATATAGTGAAAGACAAATTGAAGTTTCAAGGCAAATAATTGAAAGAGAAGATTGAAGAGAGAAAGGAGTGTGAAGGCAAAGTGGCAATTTTGGAAGTAGATTGTGGACAAATTTAAGCTCTGGCAATCCAGGAGGAAGAAGTTGAAATGGATTCAAAATGGGAAAAATCTTTGATAAGTCAATATTATAAGTTAGAATTGTATCAAATGGAAAGGGAATTTACCAAAGAGAGGATTGGAATTACCAAAAAGACAATCATGAAGAAGCAAGCCAAAGATTTATTAACATGTGACTGGGTAGTTGTAGAAAAAAAATAAAAAAAATAAAAAAAGATTCACTCATGAAAAAACCAGTAGCATGCCGATGTGTAAACAACATCATCATCAGACTGGGGTTTGAGGACAAAGGTGAAGGATAAGCCAAAGAATAACAAGAGAAAAAGAGTGGAGATTGGGGCAGACATAAGAGCAGGAGCAGCAGCAGCAGCAGTAGAAGTAGTAGTAGTAGTAGTAATAGTAGTAATAGTATTAATAGCAACAGCAACAGCAGTAGCAGCACTCCCACCCAACCCAAGTGAGACAGGTAGCACAGGAGGAGAAGGTGAAAGAAAAAGGAGAAGAAAGAAGAGGAGGAGGAGGAAAAAAGGAGGAAGAGGTGGAGGAGTACACCAAGGGATATACCAACCTGATCATCAAGTCTAGGTGGGGATACTAATGCCTGCAAAGTAAAAAAGGGGCCAATGTCAATGGCAAATCACATGTAAAGTAGCGCAGGTCACCAGTTGCAGTCAAACAAGTGAAAACAGAGAAAGAGAAAAAAAGGTAGAAAGAAAGAGAAGAATTGAAAAAGAAGGCAAAGAGAAATTAAAAAGCTGCAAAGTTTTCCCCAAGAAATATTGTTAGCTGTATAAAGTGAATCTGATAAATAATGAGGAAAGAACAACCAACCAGATCTCTGGAGGTCTTGGGTTATATTAAAAAATAAAAACTGCATGAGAAGACATTGCTTGATTGTTTCTCAAGTGTACTGAGCAACAGAATACAGAGACAAGTTTTCAAACCTTCAGCAAGAACACAAGCAGTTGAATACTATGACCTTGTCTCTCCACAAATACTTTGTCTTTTCCTTACAAGGTATAGAATTTTTAAAGGAAGCAGAAACAAGTTTGTAATTGAGTTATGATGAAAAACACCTAATGTGATAAAAAATAAAATCCCATAGAGAAACTGAGCTAAACTTGGTTTTTTGTGTCTCAATGAAATTGATATCAATAAAACTCAGGGTCAAGGCCCAAGTATATTATTTTGAGCTATCTTCTAAGAATTACTATGCCACAGACTGACATATCCTAAACTGTACTTTTGTTTTAAAATTTTTACTTAGGAATGCCTGACTGAAGCTAACATTCATTAATCAATGCATATTATTATGTTCATTAAATACCAACACATACTATACTCTAATTTTGCATTTTTAAAGGAATGCTATTTCCTATCTTTTCTTTGTTTATTTATTCATCCTAATAGTACTAAAGTGTGTGTATGCACTAAAATAAATACTAGTAAAATTTTTAAAGATTGAGAATTGGGATGGGGACAGGTGCTGTTGGGTATGTAGTAAGTGTTCTTGTTAAGATAAAGTTCCAATACAGACCTGGTGGATATTAGGCACACTGGTGGTCTTACGCAGGGAACGGCCAGAGGCAGACAACAGCTCTTTAACAGCAACTTCCTGCAAAGCAGAAACAGAAAAGTTTAGTCCGTTTATACCCTTATTGACATTAGTAGAAACTTATTTAATACTGAGTTTCGGTGCAGGTATAATCTTCTAAAAATGAAAATCAGGAATCATAATCACATCCATTCAAGTGAAAACTAAGGTACAGTTACCTTAGTTGTAATATATTCTTTATTATAATAATACATGACTTATTAAAGCTTTTTTTTTTTTTACCTATCTTCAGAGATTTATGAAGATTAGTAACATTTTGATATAAAAGTACCTGTACAAAACATAGCCAGTGTAAAAGTGTAATCATTTATTTATAACATCAGTTAAAGTCAGAAATAATTGTGCATATGAAAGACATTAAAAAAATATCAGTTTACTCTACAAACTGTTACCAACTTGGCAAACAGAAATTGCTAATTAGAAAAAATGAAGATGTTTGGCAGAAGTTCTCTTACCTGTCGTAATCTATCCAATGTGAGAATACTTTCCACAGCAGACACACCTTTAATATATTTCTCAATATAAGTTTCACCATCAGCAGCATTTGTCTCATTTTGGGATGCTGCCATCTGGGCAAGGGTCTCCATGTTCTCAAGATCTTCTGAAGCCTGAAAATAAAGTAACCATCAAACACTAAATAATTGCATTATTTAACATGTTTGAACCACAACAAAAATTTCAGATTATAAACATACAGAAAAAAAAAAAAAAAAAACATTTGAAAAAGAGTGGTAAATATTAATTTTTTTTTCAATCATTTCACCTCAAGCAAGGCAATAATGCCACTAAGGCACCAGGGGTTACTGAGATTGAAAGAGAATGAGAAGATTTTAGTGAGGAGAAAAGACAATAAAAGAACATGATGCAGAAAGACAGAAGATGGTGATTGATGTTGCATTTAAGTTTTTGAAGATCATACATATTAGGGAAGCAAAAAAACAGAAGAGAGTTGCATAAGCAAGAAGTGCAAGGAAAGAAACCATTAGAATAGACCTTATGGTTACATTAGCTATTTCAGTTGTAAAACAATAAGAGTTATTTGCCAATCTAGTAGCATGCTTAAATTCATGTGGTCAAAGTACCAAGGAGAGTACATGAAAAAAATTGTAATGAAAATATAAAAAAAAAAAGACAGAGGGAAGCTAAGTCAAGATGTCAGGTCAGGAAACATTTAACATTTTGGGGATTTTGTCAAGAATCTTGAGTACCAGACCAGATAAGGCAGTAATATTCAAGAGATGGACGAATGGTAGATTTAAAAATGTGCAAGAAGGATTCTGATGAGAAAAATTGTCTGGCACAACAAAGTGAACCAACTTTTCTAGCAGCTGATGAGGAGTTGACTGAAATCTTTTAATATCAACCACAAAAGAAAAATTAAGATAAAAAGAATTTTTACTTACCTTTGGAATATTAGAAACAACTTCATAGGTGACACCACTGCCATAAAATTGATCCTGAAAATAGACAGAAAAGAAAAATGAAAAGTTTGAAATATTGAGGTATAAGGGATCTACTTTGTTGCTTATGTTTTTTTCTTACAACTGAACATCTTTTTGTTACTACAAAGTAATATTTCTTTAGCTAATACACTACTGAAAAAGAAAAACATTTCTTATAATAGTTGATATTTAATATGTATTCAGCCAATATAGGTTCAGTTGAATGTTGGGGTTATTTTCTCTATGGTTTTATTTTGTGTAGTTTACACATGAATTTGTTTGGGTGAATGAATACCTGAGAAAAATGCATAAAATGGCCTGAAACTATTAATTATACAATTTCCTGATTTAAAAAAAAAAAAAATTGTACTAATACACACTTGAGATGGAATAAATAATATCTGAGATATATGCCATTGTGTGCTTAATTCCATAGGAAATTAATTTGAATAGTTTTCTGCTGATTTACACTGAGCTTTCTGAATGTATATGTGGATGTGTCAGAAACAAAAATTGTCTTATATAAAAGAGTTTTGTTTCATCTCTTTGAAATGATCTTGGGAATTTGAAATTCTAAAAAATTCTTAACTGTAAACATGACATTCAAATGACTTTCCTGTTATCAATTTTCATGAAATATTTAGCTATGATCTGGAAAAATACCATTAGAAGAATTCTACTTTTTCATTATTATTAAAAGTTCAAAGTCTTAAACAGAAAATTTATTTTTTGGATTTATTTCAATCGAGAAAATGAGTATATATAAAATGCACATAGAACAGAAAATGAATTAAATCTAAAATTAACATGCAACTCATAACACTCAGATAAATGGTTGTATGCCATAGAAAATTATCAAAGAGTAATATTTGTTTTTTTGTGCTTAAACAAACCAATAAAATAATTTACTTAAAAAGAAAGGAATAATTTAGGCTCAAGTCAAAGAAACTATTAAAATATTAACTCAGTATTGAAATAAATATTGGTTTATGACAGAGGCATTTTACTGAAATAAATTTGACAATCTGCCCAAATTTATGAAACTGTTTTTCTATATCATCTTAAGTGTGGAAAACATATATATTGTTTCTTAACAATTACTAATAACATTTTATAAACAAACATTAAAAGAACGATAGCAATTTTTTTTATCTGTGTAACTTGTCTTCTTTTTTTATTTTTAAATTTTCATAGTCATCATCATTTTCTCACTCAAATGATGAAACAAAAACATAGAATAGAAGTGATATCATGATCATGAGCCCTATAACCCATTAGAGTCATAAGGGTACCACATGCACTTTAGCAACAGTAGAAATGGCATGTCTTGGGCAAGATAAGCTGATGAAGCCCAGCCTTCCCCAGGCTGGTTTGAATTCAGAGTTTTCTTTCTAGACTGGCTGCCAACCAAGGCTATAGAACTCAGTCTGTCCTACTATTTACACATAGTGGGGTGGGGGAGTAGAGATGAATTCATACCTTTCCCATGAATATTAGTGAATGTAATGAACTCGACTGAAATTCAAACTCGTCTCTCCAATTCCCCAATCTGAGCCATTACTTTACCATGCTTCGATAAGATGATATAGGGAGGATGAAAAAAGTTCAAACATCTAATAACCCTCTACCACAAATATTTTTTCTCCAATGTTTACTTTTCTAAGAAGAAATGAAACCCTATTTATTTGTTTATTTATTTATCTTTTTTTTTTTTTTTACACGGAATGAAGAGTGCTGAGTGCTAAATTCCCATTAGGGCTGGCATCAGGGAATTGAATTCTCTTCTAATAATAATTGACTTAGAAATCAATCTGTGCAAAGAACTGATCATATTTTTCTGCAAGGAAACTTGTTACTGCTTACTGGCATTACAGAAAGAAATTGAATGAAGAAGAAATACAAAATTGGAAAGAAATTGATAGCATTTGCAGAGCATCACCCATAGAAAAAGGTGCTGCATGCATGATTATTGAGGTAGATAAAACTAGAGAACAAATGCAATAAGAGATTATTACAAAAAAAAAAGAGAAAGGAAGTGGTTAACAGTATGCAGGCAACACCAAGATGAATAGAACACATATCAATGAATTCTTATAAATGCTTACACAAACAAAGAGGTATTTGTTTCCAATCTTATGATTCTGATTGAATGTGTATTAAAACATGACTATCAAGGTGTGCCATACACTCAAATGAACATGGCACCATTCACAGTATCAATATAAATACATTTTCATAATTTTTTAGCTAATTTCCCCATCAATGATTTTTTTTGTAAAAAGTATTTTAATTCTTCAAGCTCTGTATGTAATGAATGTTGTCAAGATGAAACTCACTTTAATCATTAGTCTTATATCTTAAGGCTAGGACAATATTTATATAAAAAAGAAATACATTTGGCATTACTAAAATGTAACAATAATCTTGCTTTTAGATCTAAATGAACCAAAATAAAATAAGAATAAAAAATAAATAAATAAAACAAAAATTGCTTAACTCAGATAAATTATACAAATGACCAAAAATGGTAGGTTATGGTATTTCAAAAAATTTAACATCAAACTGGCTTTAAAAGAAAGTAGTAACAAATGTCTATTGACTAACAGGATATTCAGTTAGTTGTAAGAAATAGTCATAAAATAATTATGTATAAAAAAAATGTACAAACTAACAAATTAAAACTGTCAATAAAAATAAAACAATTCCATTTTTTTAATTTTACATTTTGTCTTAACTTCTAAAGGAACCACCCTATAAACTACAGGTATTGATAATGTAAGGTGGGGAAAATAAGTATTCAATATATACAGCAAAAAAAGTGTATTTCATTATTTACTTCAAAATTACATTATGCTTTATTTTACAATAGTAAATAAATGTTTATATCAAATTATAAAAGATATATTTTAAGAAGATTGAGCCGAAAAGTATTCACTATGCTACATAAAATCAAACAGAAGCTAATACTTTGTGAAGTAACCTTTTTTCATCATGACAGCTTAAATTGCTTCCTATAAGCAGCTGTTAGCTTCAGATACTCCTTCTGGATCATTCTTCATGGGAGATCTTCATTTACTAACATGATGGGCATGTGTACAAATTTTCAGTAAGGGGACTAACTGGACCACTTCAATTTTCAAAAGTACTGTTTGGCTGTGTTGTCGGTATGTCTAAGATCATTGTCGTGCTGAAAATCTGAATTGTGCTTCATTCTTGACTGGGTTAAGAATCGTGTTTAATATATCTCAGTGAATGTCTCTATTCATTCTTCCTATATTATGGAGGCAATGTGGCATAATGAATAGTGACTTGGATTGAGGAATCAGAGAGCCAAGTTTAAATTTCAGTAGAATTTGTTATATTCATTTACATGCTAATAGGCATGGGAAATGGTATGAATCCATCTCTTCTCCCAGCTATGAGTAAATAGCAGGACATACTGGGTCCTATAGTCTTAGGTGGCAATTGGTCTATAAGAAGGACAACTCTGAATTCAAAACCTCCAACTATAGTTTAAATAGCCTCACTAATTCGTAATTGGCTGAGTATGGTGAGTACGACTACAACTCTGATAATCTAGTCAATCAGGGTGGGGTTCTATCAAGGGGTGAGAAGGATCTGGATCTGTTTTAGTGAACTTTCATCCCAGGCATCTTTTTTGTGTGAATTTATCCCGTACTATTTAATGGAAACATCCACATACTATGGTTGCCACATCCATAATTCATGGTGTTCTCTGCCTCCAAACTTGACAATGATAAATGACTACTTTGGTCTCCATAGACCAAAGTATATTAATCAAGTATCTGGTTTGCATAAATGCTCCTTAGCAAACTCTAGACATGCCATTTTTTCTAATTTCTTCAGAACAGCTACTTTTTGTGCTTTACAAAATTGCAAATTATGCTAGCAGCGTGTGTTGTCAACAGTTTGAGGTGTAATTACTAATCTTGATGGTCAGAGACTTGCCATTACTTTGCAAGTTATCCTTGGCTGCTTCTTTACCATTCTTACAATCTTGTTTGCAACATAGCTAGAAATCTTTCAAGGGGCACAAGATTGAGGAGAGTCCACTATCTCATCCATATTACTTCTATAGTAGTGCATAGATAAAGTTGTAGCTCTTTACCAATGGCTCTGTCACCTTCACAATAAAACCTATATAATCTCTGAGGTCTGTATAACATTCCTTAGTTTTCCGTATTATGGTTACTACTGCAATGATTGTTAATAGTAAACTGATACACTGTAACATCATCCCCAATTCATTAACAACTTCTTAGCACACTCTAGAATAACCGACAGTTGTTCAGAAACTACAACCTAAAAATTCACAATCTCCAGTCCTACTGATTCATACTTTTTTCAACTTTTTTAATATTTCAAGATATTTTATATCTTTTTAAATTTTATATAAATGTATTTGTTGAAATTTTTTGCTCATATTTACTATTGTAAAGATAAAACCAACATATGGTATAATTTTGAGGTAAATATATATATATATATATATATATATATATATATATATATATATATATATATATATAGAGAGAGAGAGAGAGAGAGGAGGTAAATAACATAATAGACTATTGATATATTTTGAATACTTATTTTCTTCACTGTAACTATGATATATGTTTGAATAAAAGTTTTATTTGCAAAGAAAATTTATGTTTCTTTAGACAATCATTATTTTTCTGCATATAACATCAGCATCCTGTACATTTTCATACAGCATCAAGCATAAATTCATTTTGTGCTGTGAGTTAATCAAATTGACTTTTTGTTATCTCTTACAATTGTAGGAATAGGTATTAATACTGGTAACATATACTCTACAACACATTTACTCTAAATCATAGATCACCTAAAGCCTCAGATCTTCAATACATAAAGTTATCCAATTATTAGATAGACAAACTTTTTTAAACCTAGTATTAGAATCGATAAACACTAACGGGTATTTAGTATTAAAAAGTTTGGTTTTAACAGGTTTTCAAATAAAGAGGTTAAGTTCCATGCAAAGCTAACGGAAACAAAATCTTTAACATCAGGCATGCAAATTCTGTAAAAATTAAAAAAATGTGTGCATTCATATGTTTTGAGAATAAGTGGAGTGCAAGAAAATGTTAGAGAGAAAGCTGTTATATACACACATTTTGATAACCTACAGATTTGGTGATCTTTTTCTTGAGTTTATCGGTGAGTCCTTGTTTCTTGTAGATATTAATACACATCCGTTTGCGCAGGACCAACTCCATAGAGGCTGGGTGACTTAGTCGGACTATGGCTTTTAGGATCAGGTAAACGCGTTCGTTTGACGGAGTAACTCGGTTCAGGAATGGAGAGTCATGAATAGATGAGTCCCATGATGCAATTGCACAAATCTGAAAACCAAGGAATAAAGGTAGATGACACTGTTGCAGAACAATGAAAAAGCTTCAGTGTTTTTCTAGTATGTCAGTATTTATAAAACATTTTTGGTCAGCTTAGTGATTTTTTTTCACATTGGTTTCTTCCAATGTAAAAATTCTGTTGCTAACATCTATGTGTACATGCTAAATATCATTCATTACTGCATGTAACAGTAAAATATATACCTAAGATTATTCTAACAATATTTTGATAAATATTGTTCTGATAAAATTATTTTTTTATAAAAAAAATTTAATTCTATATAAGGTAGTGCTGAAAAGTCCTTGGCCTGACATACTTCCCAAAGTCTGACTAATTGACAAAAGAGAAATTTTTATCTTATTTTCTTGAATGGCTTCTTGGTCAGGCCAAGAACTTTTTGGTATTTCCTTCTATAAGTTACAAGAATCGGTCCATTGCTTTTACCTTTGCATAAATAACTTCTGATTTACATCAGATCCAAGCCCAAAATAAAAATACAGCTTATGTCAAAGTAAATAATTTTTTTAATCCTAACTGATAATTAATCTTAATATTTTCTAGAAAAGTAACATTTTGTTAAATTCTAAATTGTTAAAAAATCATCTAATTGACCTATCTCCCCACCACCCTCAAGAATCTGACAAATGGATGGATAAACCAATTCTATTATTTTTGGGTGATTTCTTTTTAGGAAAGAAAAAGCTATCCAAAATGGGAAATTACCAAAGAAATCTAAACAATCCTTCACCTTTTTCCCTTTGTACCATTGAACAATTACCATGGAAGGGTTTCAGTCTTATATACTTCAGCAAAAAAGAGGCAAAGAGATGAACAATTATACTTACATCTTTTTCTCCGCAAGTCTTGATGATTGGTAGACTGAAGAATTTGGTCCCGTGTTCTTTAGGAAGAATGGAGTTAATTCCAGCTGCCTGCAATCCCTCCTTGGCACTCGGAGTGCTCATATCATCAGCTACAAAAAAGTAGTAGAAATTTTAGCAATACTTAAATGATTTACAGAAACCCAAGATCATAAAGTTAACACTGACCTTGTTTGATTACTAAGTTTTATAGTAAAAAATTGAAGGAAAGATTTATGGAGGGGAAAATTTCAATCCTTTTCTTTATTTTTAATCCTAATTACATAAATGTAACTTGTATGACAATATTTCCATCAGTTTTAAAAAAAAAAAGAGAATGAAAGTAATTTTGAAAAGCATGTTAAACCTTTGATTAACCAATAAGTTTATGAGTAGAATTTCTTTCAATATTTATTCTCATCATATTTTTAAGTAAATTACTTTAAAAAGTTGATAAAGTCCAAACAATAAAAAATTGTATCAATTTTATAAAATATGCAAAATATACTCCTGAAATGATGTTTCCACAATCAATACAATCTTAACGAGGGTCAACTGTTATGTATCTTATATATCCTCATAATCAGTACTTATTTCCTCCTCTTACATCCATACAATAACCTCATTCACTAACCCTCTACCTTGAGTGACTCTTGGGCATTGTATTGGGTGTACAGATAGTAAAAAAAAAAATAATAAAGATAAATCTTTTTTATAAGAGAGTGACTTATTTACCATTCAAGTCTAAAAACAGAACAGGGACATGTTGCTCCATGTCAGGAAGAGTTTCACTGCAATTGGAAAAAAAGAGATATAAGAATTGAAGACTTATTGAAAAAGCATACAATTTATTGATTTCTTTTTGTGCATTTATTTATGCAAGCTAAGCTCAGAAAGAGTCTAAAGATACATATTCTGTAGTCACTGTCAAATCTAAACTAGCTTCTCATTATACTAGAGAACTTTAACAAAAACAGTACCTATTAATTTAGTCACAATCACAGCATAATTTTCATATTGAAGCAATTAATACTTTACCTGATTAGTTATTACAAATTATTTTTTTTATCTTTTGGATATTGTAATATTGTACTTTTGAGAAGTAATAATAACATTTTTTTTCAACTAATTAACTGCCACATAAAAATTGTAGGAGATTCCAGTGTCATGTCACTAAAATATCAAATACAATATTTATAAACCAATCACATTCAAGAAAACACTTACATCTTAAAACACACCAATAAAATCATAGATTACAAATCAGAATGTTTGTTGTATTAGTCATCATTATTTTTAGGTAGATACCGACCAAATATCGTACGGATGTAGCAGAAGACATACCACGTGACTTCTTAGGGCCAATTAGGAATAAATAAATAATTTAATTCTGGAGCCGATATTGTTCGGAAAAAGTGTATAAAAACATAAGAAATCCATTCCCAAAACAATATACACGCGGCTGCCACCAAACTACACACACCTCTCGCTGATGACCTTCATGACCTCATGTTAAAAACGACAGCGTTGACAAACTCCAGACCACGGCAACATTGCCAACAGTAAGAAACAATTCGTATCTCTCGTATCCGTTTTTATTATGAATCACGCACACACATGTTGACTTTTTCATACAAACACACATATCACAACATTTTATTGTTTCTCACACACGTACACAAAGACAGTTTATATTTTATTTCAGAACTTTATCAACCCAAACAAAAGACATTACTTTCCAATCTATTATCAACTGTTTGTATTCCTATTGTTATATTAAATTAATGTTTATTTGTTGAAACTACGTCGTCTTTTCTACTGAATTTTATTCTTTCAATGAAAAGCTTTTGATTATTCTAGACGGCCAAATTACGAGCAACCCTGTAACGATATTTTGTTAATGTATTGAATCCCGACATTCCCAATTTTAACATTCAATGAAAAACTGAGTAGAAGGATTCCTACACCAGCACTTATTTATTTGCCTTATTTTCTACCTTTAATAATGCAATTCTACATTTATCAAGTACTTAAAAGACTGAGTGAACTCAATCAAAAATACAACACAAGCAATCTCTCATAATAATATCAGAATTAATACCAAAAGTAATTATATTAAAACTAAAATAAATTTGTTACTTATAACAATTTACAGATTGTTTTGTTTTTTATTTCCTCTAATACATAATTATCAATAGTAAATCTTTCCTAGGATTTTATAAATACTGTGTGTGTGTGAGAGAGAGAGAGAGAGAAAGAAAAAAGAGGAGATGCTGAAAAGTTCTCAGCCTGTACAAGAAAAGCATTAAAAAAAATATAATGTTTGACCATTTGGCCAGGCCAAGAACTTTTCAGTACACACACACACACTGATGAGTCAAAAGAATATGCCTATTTGCCTTATAAGGTGGTAGTCTTAGATGTACACACAAAACAGCTCTTAATTACACATGGAACTTATAAACACCTTTAAAGCTTTCCCCTCTGAAATCTAGTGCCAGGATGTTAAAAGTTATATGGTGGAGGTTCTGCAGAGGGCCTGAAAGTGCTCAATGGGATTGAGATCTGGGGAGTTTGGTGATCAAGGCAACATAATGAAGACTTCTTCATATTTCTGAAACCATCCTGTACAACCCGTACAGTGCAGCAGATGCTACTGTTATTGTAGAAGACTATTGCTATAAAGAAGTCTTCAATGATGTTGAAGGAAATGGTATGCAAGAAAGTATTTTCCACATGAATAATAGAGCCTAATGTTTCCCAGAAAGAATGTTGCCGATTGACTCCACTGTTTTCCAATAGTGCAGGCTGGTGCCATTCCTTCCTCAAGATGATGATGTCCAAGCACTCTGTTGTGCACCTTATTCTGTAAAAATCAAAACACATCAGATATGATTACCTTCTTTCATTGATACAGAGTCCAGTTTCAATACTCATATAACCATTGGAGATCCTTTAGACAAATGCTTGCAGCAAAACAATCCCATATGCAACAATGAATGATGTACTCTTTTCTTTACCTTGATTAAAGCAATCTGCAGTTTGTGCCATAGTAAAACCTTCTGTCGACTCATACTAAGTAGGAATTTTTCACATAGATAGCTCATAGTTGTTCAATACTTTGTTAGCAGTCAGTATTTTTCCCCTCCTCAGACTGTTGCTAATAGATCTCACCACAACTGAAAACATAAGCAGCCTACAAGCTGTGCCATTTCAGAAATGTTCAAACCTAACGAATTTGTCTTTATCAAAGTTACTGAAATCTTTCTTCTTGTCTATAATTAATGCATTCAACATATCAAAATATATATGTTTAGTCCATCAATATATGTATATCATTCACACATACAGACTAGTGCTTAATGTTTTCTATACAAAAGATACATTCAATTTGTCAAAGAAATGGCAAACATTTTTTTATGTTATGTTTATAATAAAGATGCCAAGCATACAGAGAAAACTGGTAAGCTAATTACATAAGACCCTTTACTTATGGAAGGAGTTCAATCCTCACAAAGAGCCACATTCCTAAACTGATCTGAGTCAATATCTAAATACAAAATAATTTGGTGACTTATTTATCAGAGTACATTGATTTTCATATTAAGTAGATAAACACTGCTTCTGGTGGGGGTGTTAATGAAGACATTGATAACGGACCTGTCAGCAGGTGCTCCTGGTATACCACTTCCAGCAGCAGGGACTAATACTGCATTACGTTCCTCAGTCAAACCAATCCATTGTTCCACAAGAGATTTTTCACGGTCTGCTTCAGCCTCATTCTTATCTGTAAATACAAAAACAAAATTAATGAGCCTGTGGAGAAAGTGTCAGAGAGACTTGGTATTTATTTATTGGAACTTTGGAAATAAAACAAACTGACTCAAGGGTATAAAAAATAATATATATTTATTTGATTTAGATTGGATTGAGTCCATTGATATTTGGTGTAGCAGAACTTTGTCAATTGGTAGCAGTCGGGAGAAAGTCCAGATCAGTGTCAATCTGCTGTGTTTTTCTCTGCTCTAAGAAGAGCAGAAAAATTTAATGAAGGAAATGACCACTTAACTTCTTCATGCGACATGCATGGCTGGTTTGTCTGGCAGTCCCTTCTCCTGTTCAGGTTTCTCTGGTGGTCCTTCTCTTCTGCATCAAGGCTGTCAGCTTATATCCTTTTGAAAAAAATCCTAGACTACTGGCCTGATCCATGATTTCGGCTAACATCAGAAGTCTCTTTGTGTTAATTTTTTGATTGGACAAAATTATTTTATTTTCCAGTGTTCCTTTCTTTTTCTTTTGTTTATATAGCAGAAGTTATGTGTAGAGCCTCTGTGATTTTTGGTAGTTTTTAGTCACAAATTGCTAGACTTTGGTCCAGCAAACTTTCACTGATTTGCAGCCAAATTCAGTTTTTTGTTTGAGAGTTGCAATCTCATTAGTTGAGAGATAAAGAAAAAGATAAGGGTTTTAAAGGAAAGCAAATACCTTATTTAAATCTTTTATTTTTTTTTATCTATTTTATTTTCATATTTTGCTTTTTTTCTCAGGACTCACTAAATGCCACTGGAGAAAAAAAGAAACAGCATTTCAAAAGATTATCAGTTGAATTTTTAGTGGATTGGTTCCTATGTAGATTAAAAAAAAGAAATCCAACTATAATTTTTGTAATACAATCATCTTTTGTCAATATATACTTATTTATGATGCTGTCTTCAAAAATTCTAAAAACCTGAGCCCAAACTATCTATCAAAATTTGAGATTTCTCAATACCAAAAAAGACTACTTCATTAGTATACAGAAGGATCTGTTAGTATCAATAAAATGATCCTTCTCCAATGTTTCTAGTTGTGACTGACAGAAAAGTAAGCAAAATAATTATGACAAATAAGTGAATTGAAAAGATTTATTTGATGATAGTAACTGAATGATTGATTTCAGCTTTACCAATCTATTAGAAAAGTTACTTTTTCTCACCTATTCATACACACAAGATTCATTAATGAGTGTCTGTTCATTTCACTCACAAAGTATGCTGAATCTAATAATTTCTCTGATTATCTACTGGTCCCCAAAGTACAGCATTCATTCAGTGCACTTGCCTTCAGCTTATTTGTTGCCCAAAGACATCTACACCATCATTATTTCCTTCAAATAGTGCAGAATGAATTTCAACCAACACTTCTTTTTCTATTTTCAAATACTACAGTTTGTTGATTGAACCATTTTCTCAATTCCTCCACATCAAAATGATGGTATTTCATCTTTCAGTGATTTTCTAATCAGTTATTTCAACTTAAGATTCCTTTAGTCTCTAAGGACAGACCACAAGATCTAAGGTTCAATTTCTGCTATGAATTAGGTGAAAAAGATAAAATACAGCTCAACATAACCCTGTAATATTTCCTGACCCACAAATACTTGTAAAATCTCTAATGCATGTTACAGATGCATTAACATTTTCTTTTATTTCTCTGTTAGAATGTAATGCTAGAAGTAGATAGGTTTGACTATTGTCTAGTTCACACTCCTCCCCAGTCTTTTGAAAAGGGTGTAGTGGTTTACCCCTTGTATCCTGTTTAGAATTAGATTTTCAGTTCCTTCTAACATCTTTTCCATTCTCTTTTATTCCCAGTAACTCCTTATATTTTAGTGGCATGCCTTGTTTGGAGTGAATTGATTAAAAAAATATAAAGAGAAATGTTTTTCCTTATTGGAAAAACATTTCTCTTTATATTTTTTTAATTTTTTAATTGATTTTTCATGGATTCATATTGAAATTTTAAGATGAAACACATGTAAAATTATAAAATTTTATCTTTTTTTTATTATTATTATCATACTTTTACAGACTTATAAATCTAATAAGAAATATTTTTTTTCCTAAGGATATGGCATGCCAATATTTTTTTTAATAAAATATTTTCAATGTCTGGAATTATAAAACTCTTAACTTTATTAATATAGAGGCATAACTTTATGATGCTTATTAGATTAATTCAAAAAAATCTTTATACTGAAAACTGATACAGACCCCTACCATTGCATTTTATAAATCTAAATATGTTTATGTAAACACATATATTTTATAAATATATTTTAAGAAGATTAATTTGAAAAAATTAGTGAAAACTGATACAGACCAATTTTATTTATCAATATTAGTGAAAACTGATACAGACCAATTTTATTTATCAATATTACATTTTTAGTACTTGATATATAAGTTGTTATTTTTTCCCTCAAATGCAAATGAATCCTGTCATTGTTAGAGAAATCTAAGTTGAATCTTAGTAAGGAAATAAGCAAAAGCCTTGTGAGGTGAATATAGATTAATCTAATTAGTCAGTATGAAATGAGAATATGTAGTGGAGTCAGTGTGTCTGGTGAATATAGCCACAAACATAAAAATAAAAGACAATGCAGGCTAAAGATTTATTTGAAAGCCAGCAAATTTAATTCATTTGCAGATAGTAGTGAATGTAGAGTATAAGCTTCAGACAATGATTACAAGAGAAGGTAATGACATTTTTAGTAGATATCAGACACCAAGTTACATAGTCAAATTCAATTGAAATGAAGAGAAAGTAACAAGCTTAGAAGAAAAGAAGAAGGTTGTATGGAACTGGTTTCTCTGTTGATGAAGGATGTCAGTTCCCATGTGATATATAAAGACAATACTGAGAAGTGCAACAGTAACAAGCAATTATTTGAGGTTACTTTGTACAGCAGAAACATTCAAAGGTATACTCTCTTATCCACAAAAAACATTCAAAGGTATACTCTCTTATCCACAAGTTAAAAATAGATGACACTCTGTCAAAAGAGATGTCAGTCATTAGAAATGCCATTTAATTTGGAAATGGTCAATTGAATGATCATTAAAAGCACATAGAAAAAATACCTTGGAATGGCATTTCATTACATTATCCATTTTCTCCTAAGTCAAGTAAACAAATTCAACTGTACAAATTAATTACTAATGTACAAATGTGACTGTTGGGTAAAGTAAGCATTTGTTTACAAGAACATGATTTTTCTGGCATGTCACAATTTTGAATATCATTTCCTTTAATGATGACATTCTTTAGGAACCAATAGACAATAAGATTCACTGTACTATTGTTTTGATCTCCAGGAAACAGACACAATTACACCTTGTCACACTTTATAGAACAGCATTTCTATTTGGGGATATTTTTTCTAAGAAGACTTTGTAATGACGAAATATATTGTTAAACTGGTTTCACATAATCCTTTTTAAATCCTTGATTAGTTCTGTTATATTTATCATAAAATTATCATGCCAGATTTTAAAATAAATCATAATTATTCATACTAAAGTCAGGGTATCATAAAAAGTTAAGAAATACTAGTTATTTAGTGTGTTAACTACATAGTTTACTTGCAAACTTACTGTGTTGTATATAATTTTTACTAATATTTTAATTAAGTAAAAATTGCACACAGCCTACAACTGTGCATTAAAAATGAAGATCTGAGCACTGAAAAGAAACCAATTGAAATAAGTTTGAAGATAGAAAATTGTTGCAATATTATCAAATGTTTTAGAACTGATTCCAGATGATCAACTTGCTGGGGTGCTTTAGTGACTCAAGATTAAGATATCTCATTATTATTTTTGAAAAATATTGTAGTTATTCATTTTTTTATTACCAAAAAATCTTTATATTCTCTGATAAATGTTTTCTGCTTGAAAAAAAAAAAAAAAAACTTTGGTAAAGATGCCAAGAAAGAGAAGAATAGCTAAGCTTCTCATAAATCAAATCAAGTTGGGAAGAGAAGAAAATGAAGAGCATTTGATGTCAGAGATTAAATATTTGAATCATTCAGTGTAGGTGACCTTTTGCAATGAACAAAAATCATTCCAATTTGTGAGAGGAAAGTTATTTACAAGGCATTAATGGTACATCTTTAAAAATAAATTATTGATTTGCATAAATAAAACACGGTATACAAATATGATGCAACATTCTAATCTCCTAATGGTACAGAAATATTCAAATTTATGCTTTACTGCTACTTAGTCTCTTTGAATTATTACAGTTAGCAGCAAACCCTGACAAAGTCTTTTTTTTTCTCTCAAGCATCTGGATTTCCACATGTATACAATATTGAAAACTTTGGTATTAGTGAGGCAGTAAAAATTTATGCTTATCTGTTTAGTATGATTGATTCATTCATTCATTTTCTACGGTTTATCAACCCTTTTCTGGTTATTTAAAATATTTATTTTTTAGATTATAAGATTTTTTTTAAAGATAATAATTGTTTAGTGATACACGTATTACTAATTAATCCATAGCTGGGAGGAGAAGAGGTAGATTCATATCTTTCCCAAGGGTATTTGTGTGTAAGTGAATACAACGAACCCAATGGGAATTGGAACTCAGCTCCCCAATTCCAAGCCATTATCCATTTGCACCACCTGCACATTCAAGCTTATAGTACCGGGTATTCCCAAACAATCATCCATCAAGGTGACCAAGCTTGACGTTGCTTACTTTTACATGCAACTGCTCGAAACTCTGAGGGAACAGCTCTGAACCCTGCAGAGTGGACTGCCCCCGACGATAAAGGAACGAGATCAAAATTTGTATCATGTAGAAACCGTGCTTTTGTCAGCACGTTTAACACTAGGACACTGAATCCACCGTCCCGTCTTAACGAACTTGTGAAAAATACAGAGGATCAGAATATCGATATCATTGCCATTCAAGAACATCGTTTCTTCCATCCTGACACTGATATTGAGTATCACAGGATCGAAGACTATCATCTTGTTACAGCCTCATGTGTGAAGAACTCTACCAACTCATCTATAGGGGGTGTAGGCATTCTGCTTTCGCCAAAAGCGATGGAGAATTTATCGAGTGTAGTGAAGATATCATCAAGAGTCGTTATTGCCGATTTCAAAGGTAATCCTAGAACAACAGTCATATCTTGCTATAGTCCCCACAGAGATAGTGACGATGAAGAAATAAACCAGTTTTACAATATTCTACGTTCTTCTCTAGAGAATGTTCCAGCTCACAACTTTCTCTTAGTACTTGGGGACTACAACGCTAAGCTTGGAACAGATGATGCCAAATTCACTTTCCATACAGAAACCAACCGTAATGGCGAGTATCTGGTTGACTTAATGGAGGAATTTAATCTGTATCCAGCTAACACTAAATTTATGAAGTGCAACAATCAACTATGGACCTTTAAGTATCCAAATGGCAGCAGAGCCCAACTAGACTTGATACTGGTTCATAAGAAGTGGCAGAATAGCATTAAGGACTGCCGACCATACTCATCTTTCTCTTCCGAGGGATCTGAACATCGAATCGTCTCTGCCACAGTTAAACTGAGTTTTAGAGTTTCGAAGAGACCAACTGCGGATCCCATGAAAACTATTGATTGGAAAGCGGTCTACCATGACAAGAATCTATCATCTCAGTATGCAGTGAATGTGTTTAACAGATTCCAAGAACTCTTTCACTACAACCCAGAGAACTCTCAGTTAGATTCAAGGAACATAGACCTGATCTATGGAAACTTGATTAAAGCCAACGAGGAGGTGGCTCTATCTACACTCCCCAAAAAAACAAAATCACGAAGAAGTCCAGTTAGTTCAGGCATCAAAATCTCAGAAGCTCGAGAAAATCTCAAGGAAACCTCATCGACGTACCACTGCCACCCTTCTCAGAGCAATATGAAGAAGTTAACAGCTGCAAAAAAATCCCTCGACCATGCTTATCTTGAAGCTGATGAAGCTTATATAAATGGGAAATAACTGATATTTCCCATCTTCATATCAACCAACAACACTCTGCAGCTTGGAAAACTATAAAAACTAGTGGGAAAGGGATCAAAACCTCCACCAACAATTAAAGGTGGCAGCCGTGAGCAACAGCTTGGTAATTGGCTTTCTCATTTCAAAGACCTCCTTGGTAATCCCGCAAGTCTTTCTGATCACGTGTCCCTCCCAAAAGTCCAAATTAGTAGTGCTTTGAACATATCAACAGGAAAGTTCACCATTGCAGAGTTGAAATGTATTCTAATGAAGACAATGAACAAAGCTCTTGGTCCTGACAAGATTCCGGTCATCTTGTGGAAGGACCCTATTTTTCACCAATTACTTCTTGATCTGTGTAATTATGCAAAGGCCAGCCACGTTTCATCAACCATCTGGCTACGATCACAAATCATCCCTATCCCCAAAAGGGCGATTTGACATTACCAACCAATTATCGCGGTATTTCGTTGCTTCCTATAGCTGCGAAAATCTATAAAATCGAATTCGCGTTGAAGTTGAACCCATTCTACGCAAAAACCAAAATGGTTTCCGCCCAGGTCGTTCCACTCTTGGACAAATCCTCACATTGCGTAGAATAATTGAGGAAATCACATTCTGCAACAAAAATGCAGCTCTTATCTTTGTAGACTTCAACAAAGCTTTTGACTCAGTCAACCGCGAGACTATGTTTGAAATTCTTAAACTCTACGGCATACCAGTAGAAATCATTGAAGCAATCAAAGTATTGTACACCAACACACAGGCTACTGTCCTGACCCCAGATGGAGAAACAGAACCTTTCTATATTCTGGCTGGTATTCTCCAAGGTGATACATTTGTACCTTTCCTTTTCATCATTGTAATAGACTACATCATGCATATATCAGTGGATACAATCAAAGAAAATGGTCTGATGTATCAGCCTAGAAGAAGCTCACGTCATCCTGCACTTTACATCACCGATGCTGATTTTGCCGATGACATTGCACTGTTGTCTGACAACCTCATTAGTGCTCAAGCACTCCTTCCTTCTCTTGAATCAGCAGCTAACTGTGCAGGTCTACACCGAAATGAAACTAAAACTGAGTGTATGCCAATTAACATTTGCAACAATCATGAGATCAAAACACTCTCAGATAACATCGTCAAATGTGTCGAAGACTACAAGTATCTAGGATCACACATCAAGAACTCTGAGAAAGACTTCAACATTAGAAAAGGTATAGCATGGACTGCTTGTAACAAAATGGATAAGATCTGGAAATCCAATCTTGCTCATCAATTCAAAATCCAACTTTTCTGTGTACTTATTGAGCCAATCTTACTCTATGGCTCTGAAACTTGGACTCTCTCAGCAAAACAACAGCGTCGTTTAGATGGATGTTATACACGTCTTTTAAGAAGAGTGCTTAATCTCTCATGGCGAAACCACCCAACTCTAGAAATGATATATGGTGACTTGCCAAGAGTATCAACTTTAGTTTGTAAGAGACGTGTCCAGTTCGCCGGGCATTTTGCACGTGCCACAGATGAACTTGTGTCATCATTTGTACTCTGGAGGCACTCATCATCTGTCAATCGATCATGCAAGTTAACCTTTCCAGATAGGATAAAACGTGACACATTGATCCCTAAGGAAGATCTTTTAGGTGCTATGACAGATAGGGAATACTGGAGAGGTGTAGTGAGTTCAATCTTGGCTGAGGCCGCAAGATGATGATGATGATTCCCAAACAATCATCCATCAAGGTGACCAAGCTTGACGTTGCTTACTTTTGGTGATTATATGGGAACCAGTGTTTGTTTAGTGTGAGGAAATGTATACTACTTACTGCTAATTTCTTGTTGATGTTGAACTAATTCCTTGCATTGTTTTAATTATATTTGTGTCTTCAACATTTAAATCTTTTAGCTATTAAAAAATAACTTCCAAATTTAACATTAATGAAGAATGTTAAATATATGTATAGAAATTACAAAAAAAAAAATTTACTATTGTAATTTTTCTTAGAATAAAATAAAATTTATGGTTCAATAGGTAGCTTCACTGACCTTGTTTGTTAATCAGCTTCTGGAATTGTTCTGCAAGGTAAGCTTTCCGTCTCATAAGGGCTTCAGACCATCGGTCACCCAGCAAATTTAAATCCTCTTCCTGGTAACTGTCCAACCCTTTTTGTAGTTTAGAACGTACACAGATGCAACCCATCGAAATGGACACTATGGACTCGCAGATCAAAGGTAGAGTCCCAGAGTTAGCCACGGGTTTGACGCGTACCATCACACGTCTGGAATGACCCTGAAAATATAAAATATTCCCATGCTCAGTAATTTGGCAACAAAATACAATTTACAAAAATATTATTCTAAGCATTTGCTAACATGATTTGAATGGATCTAAATTGATGTTTTAATTATTATGTGTTAATATTTCATCAACTTTACTTAATTATGACTTTGTCAAAGTCATAACAAAACAATATTGTTATGAAAACTGAATACATTCAGTGGGGTAATGGCTACTGAGTATGCCTGATTGACCATTATTACTGGAAGTTTGATCTTCACTCAGTGCTTCATATTTGTTGCCTTGTCCTAAATGCACAGAACTATAATAAAAGTTACTTACATAAAGAAAATAATGAGACTGATTTAATATTTAAATGAAAAGTACATTAACATAAAATAATTAGTCTTTAAATGGGACAATACAGAACACATATATGGATGAATGAACAGACAATGAGTAAATATACAAGGACTTAAAGAAACCTGTATGTATATGTACATACTTTTATATGAAAATTATAGCCCAAACATCTTGCATTTATGTAAATGTACACAAACTGGAACCACATACACATATATATGTCTAGCCAATTTCATTTAGTTTTATATTTTTTTTAAATGAAATGAAATTAGGTAGGCTATATGCCCAAACACATATAAGAAAAAAAAATTAAATTTAAGACAGACATATGCACGTACACACCCATGATTTGTCTGTTTTTAAATCAGAAAAGTTACCATGATGTCAAATGTTAGCCTGTTAGCATAACAAATTGGCTGTGAGTGTGAAAAACCAGAGGAAATCAGAAAACATTGCAATCAAACTGAGAAATGCAGTGAAATGTAATAATTTCTCTGTGGTGAGCAAACAGATTTGTTTTAATTAAATAACACAAAGAAGGAAGAATAGACAAATAAAAGGCAGAGCAGATAGAATCATCCAATTCCACAAGGAAAGGAAATGATTGGCCAGGAATCTAAATATAAATAGAAAATAGCTCTCCTATCACTCCCTATTTAATTAATCTGATTTGAAACAAATATTACTTACTTTTTATTTAAAATATTGCAGAAATACATTTTTAACATAGAGGTAGGTATTTATTTAAGGTATTGACAGGTTGATTGACAGCTGGAAGTTTATTTAATTATTTTCTATGGGGAACATTTCTGTAAAAATTTATTTAAGGAATATAATGTTAGTGCTTTTTTAATATAATTTTTAACTACCCAGTAATCTTAAAAAATTTAGGAAAATATTCTCTGTAATGTTTTATTGAATCTTAGGTACTTTGGCTTTAAATTTACGAGAGTTGTTGCTCTTATTTTTTGATAATGTTATGTATGGATGTCTGCATTTACAAAAATTGGCACGTTTATACACACAAAAATTTTTTAAAATATTGAGGGGTCACTGAATTGTAGTAAGCTTTTCCATTTATGATTAATAAATATAGCTTTTACTTAACAGTAATATCACCTAACCTGTACAAATTAATACAGAAATTTAAAGATTTAAAACTTTACAATATAAAAAAAAATGAAAGCAATTTTTGTAAAAATTCATTAATCATTGAAAAAAAAAATTTCTTCAGACAATAGTGTCCATAATATATCTTATTTATAAAAGTAATTAAAGGCTTTTCTAATTAAATAATGACCTAATTTTATTGCATTTTTCATTTTACAATTCAGAGCAGATTTTTGGTAGCTGTGTGTCCTGTTTTACAAAAAAAAAATAGCTGAAGATTTAAATTCTCCAAGGAGTTCTGCATATGACTAATATAAACATTAAGTAGTACAAAAATGAACTTCTCAAAATTTCATAAAATTAAATCAGTGGATGGTAACAGATGTTAAAAAAAAAAAAAGACCAAAATTTACCCCCCCACCCCAATTTTTTTTTCTAAAACAATTTCATTCATTTGTGAGTAAGTCCTGAAGGTTTCATTAGAATCTGATATTTGATTTTTGCAAGAATTTCCAAATCAGTGCATTTTTCATTGCAAAAAGATCTTTGGCCTTCCTGATGACGTAAGAAAAACAAGATTTTAAACCAAAATTTTGGACTTTGTGAAAAGGATCAAAAAATATAATTTAATATTCAAAAACTCATTTGGTCTTTCCTCTTAATAATACCAAAGATTTTCATGATAAAAATTTGTTTTTATTAAGTTTAGGGTATTTTTTCATCATGTTATGCTCATTTTTTTAGCAAATCTGTGGAAGTACATATTAAAAAGTATTAGTGAATTTTATTTGCTTGTATCTTCTCTGCTTGATACTATCAAAGCAAAATGGATGCATGCAAAAGAAAATAGTGTTGACTCATAGCTAAAGGGCCATTCAGCTTTGAGCTGTTTTAGGCACTTGCAGAAGTTTTATATTATTTTTATATTAAACGCAGCACAACAATTAATCTATCTATTTTAATAGAAGAGATGATTCTATGTCCATTACACACTGTATGTGATTTTGCATGTGTGTATGTAATGTATAGGTGCTTGTGTCATTTAAAGTACAGATATTTTGACTAAGTTTGAAATAAGACATTGGAATAATACATTTCTCTCAGTCTGGATATCCCCTATTCTGGGCAGAACAATAAAATCAAAGCTGAAGAAAAAAAAAAAATTTTAAAAATAGCTTAAACTGTCTCTTTGCTTAGATGTGTGTATGGCTGTGAAATACAAACAAAACGAAAAAACAGCTGCTCTTTCTCCTATCTCCAGTGAGATAGCTTTAGTATCAATATTTCACTTTGTTTCTATCTATTGATACAGTTTATTGACGTCTATCAGATATTAATATCAGTCTATCCATATAAATTTATTGGTGTTTAGAACCTGAAAGCAGAGCCACAGAGTAAATGCCCAGTTTATTACTTATGATAATAAAGTGAATTTATGTTTTATTATCTAAATTACCTAAGTTTGTTTTTGTGGCTATTGATTAATAATGGCACAAATGAAATGAGAGGGAAAAATGGTGCAACTCATTTATCAGCAAAAAAGCTGTTAATTTTTTGAACACTAATAAAAAAAAATAATCAAAAAAAAAAATCAGATAATTATAAAATTTTATTTAACTTTTTGAAATTACTTGATAATAAATAAAATTATTTAAAAAATTTTTTAATTTGTAAAAATATTTTTAGGGCTGTTGTTGAATTAAAATATACATACACATACAGAGATATATATAAAATTTGAATGAAATTCAAATGGATATCTGTGTCTTGAGAGCTAATAGGAAAATAGTATGACCCTTTGAAGTCTTTTTTACGACTCCTTCTGTATTTCAATAAATGTAGTATTTAAATGGACAAAATTTAGATTTGAAATTTGATCATTTTATTATACAGGTACTAAACTAGTATTAGTGAGAAGCTTTAAAGTATGATTTTTCTTTTTGTGACATAAAAAAAAAAAAAAAAAAAACATGAAGACTCTCACCTGTCGAAGTTGAAAGACTCCAGCAGAAGGCACTTCTGGTTTGGGTGTCACTTCCACTGCAGTGTACTCGCCTTGTTCATTTAGTTCATGCACTTCTACCCAGAACTCAATTTTACGCATCACTTCATTCCACCTGCAAAAATGATAAGAGTAAATTAGATTATTAGTGTTTATTTTCCAAATTGCCTCTTATTTCTGATTTACCCTCATACATAACTATATCTAAAAGTTTAAAAATTTTTTACAAAAGAATTAAAATCTACAAGAGATTATAGTGAAGATTTGTGAATATGTAGAAAATTTTTTTGATTACCACCCCCCACAGAAAAAAAAAACAAGATTTCTAATAATTATCTGGATCTAATTGCAATAGTACACAACTTTAGGGAAAGCATGATACACAAATAGAAATCTTAAGATTTTACATTATATCTTGTACTTTGAATATTTAATTGACTATACAAGATAGGGTTTCATATCAACCTTGAACAGAAAAAGGACAATACAAACTAGAATATATAGTTTGCTGCATAGTCTCATTTTCTTGTCCATTAGGTTTGCATTGATTTTTGATTTCTTCATACTTTATTTTAAATTTGAAAGAATGTGAGAATGAGTTACTCTGCTTACTTTCTTAAAATCCACTAAGAGACGGTCCCTAAGCCTATAAATAGGCAGTGAAATTCTCTGTCATTTTCTTTTTCCTTTTTCACTCAGGGACAGTAAGATGTATGCTGAATGAGGAAAACACTTGGAGAATGTGTGCATACATGTATGCACCTTTCACTTCATTTCCTCTAGGATTTTCTCCTACACCAAACTACACAGACACACACACAGACAATTCACTAGTTTAAATGTTTTCTTCATTCATGTTCATTGTTCAGTAATATGCAACAATATTTTATTGTCTATATATATATACCCTTGTTTTGTTAATACATATTTATCGTTTGTTTATATATATAGTTTTGTTGTCACTTTCTTCATTTATTACCCAGATTCACATACAGAGTCTGCCATTTTTATTGTGGGATAAGTATACCAGGAGACATATGTTTTCAATCTAAACACTTGACCAGCACATTCCTGCTGCAAACACTTTCAAATTGCTTACCACAATCATTATTGTCAATCTTTAAAAGTCTTACATTTGTGGTTTTTAAAGTGGATATAGATTGAAATTATACAGAATATTATATTTTTAAGCAAGTGGAAATAGTAATTTCTGAAAATAGAATAAATTTTTATACTGATATCAAAAAGATATTTCTGTTAATAATAAGTTAATATATTATTCTTCCTTGACATGCAAATAGTACTTATTAGCTAAAGTAGATGCATATTATTTATTATTAGTTATGATTATATATTGTTCCCTCTCTCAATAGTGTTTTTTTCCTTATATTCTCTAACCTTGTGTCTTAGTGGCTTTATTGCCTTGCTTGAGCTGAAATGATTAAAAAAAAAATCTAAAATTAAATATTCTGAGATTTGAATAGTTTATTTGAAATAATTATAATTTCCTTAAACAATTAATAAGTCATTTGTTGTTATTTTCATTAAACAATTGTTTTAACAAATATATTTGTAGCTTTCAAATGATGTTAAAATTTTTATTTACTGTGATAGTAGTTAACATTTGAACTGACTAAAAGTTCCTGCAAAGAATGAAATGTATTAGAAACATTCCCATATTTTTTATATTGTTTTTATTAATTGTTGCAAAAACAAAATAACTCAAAATCTTACTTTGTCAATAATTTCTAATATTTCTGATTTTTTTGTTTCTTTGACACTTTTTAAACTTTCCTCTTCTCAAATCATAACAATTCTTCCAATAATGCTTTCCTTGTTCCAATTTTTTCTTTCTATAAAATGAACTTGTTGAATTCAAGCATCTTAAACTCTTTTTTTACAATATACTCAGCATGTCTCTAAAGAAACAAAACTAAATTCTTTTCAGTACATTCATTATAGAATAATAAACAAAAAATATAAATCCCTAAAGATCAAGATATTTTCTCATAATTTTATAAAAGACTCTTTTGTATATTGTTAAGGCAACTCACTTCCTTGTACAATTTCACATCAAATTCTCTTTGCATTTAAATAGGAATGGCATAGAACATAATCAGCTTATACAATTAATGACAATGAAAATAAATTGACAAACAAATCAATATTTTCATTATGTAATCAGTTTAAAGATATAAGCTCTGTCCTTCTGCAGATTACAATTCATTAATTAGTGTCTAGTTAGGCTCTTGGAGATTAATTACCTACCTGTCGAGCAATGAACGAGACCTGGCTTGTCTGTTGTCAGGGTCCCAAGTATTGTTGTTGCTGAAGCCAGGGCTACGATGGCCCCACACCTCGATAGAAAGCGCCCCTTCAGAAGCATGTTCAATAAATTCTTCAGTGACACACACTTTGAAATCCTGTAAAATTTGATGATTGTAATAATGAATTAGTGTAATAGAAATTAATGATTTTTTTTTCATTATGGCAATGGGCAGGTGAATTATAAAACTGTAGTAGTCACCAAAAACAACTGAAATGCAAGTTTCTCAGAGAAACATTCATCAATATTGAGCAGTTGCTCAACTATTGGAGAAAGGGGAGAAAGAGTTGTTTTTTCTAACCAGTTCTAAGACTAATTGATATTCTCCAGAGTGTATACACTTTTATAAATTTGAAAGTAACATAAAAGACAAGTTTATGCTAGCATATTTGGTTTTTATAAATAAAATAAATGTATTAAGTTTTTTATAATATGGCAACAAAAACATCTTCATTTGTATGTGGCACCATAGATACTTTTTATATAAATTATTTAAATAACAAGTAGAAAGAAAATAACAAGAAAATTTGGAATAATAGTGAAAAGGAAAATAAAAGTAAGAAGGGAGAAAAGGAGAGAGAGACTGATAGAAAGCCAAAGTTGGAAGGGGCATGGTTAGAAAAGGTAAGCTCACATGTTCTCTATTTACAAGTTGCTTTACCTATTATATTTATCTATAACTATCAAATTACTCTTTCCATGTTTCCTGCAGACCACTACACCTCTGCTCTCTCTTGTCCAGATGTTTGTGTTTTTATTAACAATATCCTCCCCACACAAATACATATTTATGCAGCCAGGTAATTCACTTGAGATTGCCTTTCGCAATTTGAGCTTTTGGCTCAAATTGTGAAAACAAAATAAATTCAATATATTTTTACATCACACATAAAATGAGAAGCCAAACCTGTTTTGATAAAAACATTTCAATAATCAGAATAGCTAAATGATGATAACAATGTGCAATGATCAGTATCACAATGCCAACTTCAGAAAACTTAACTAATCATTTTACAAAAGTGTTTACCTATCCAGATTTCTTCTTACCTTTATCAGACCAAAACTCCATCCATATTGAGTAGATTCAATGAAAAACAAACATTTTTTAAAAATTGGCAAAGGCATGTGCAAAAATATTGAAGTCTGTGCCAATAACTACCAGCCATAAAGACTATCATGGATTATTAATAAGGTAAAAGATGAGAAATGTCAAATTGAAAAATGCCATCAATCTTATGTTCTGGTAAATTTCTTAAACTTCTATAGATCATACCTCTCATGAGTTTAATATGCAATTTGCAGTATAACAGCAGTGTTGTCTAAAATGCTAATGAAGGTGGTTGATAATTAAATTCCATAATAGTAGTACTGGCCAAGATATATCCTCAACCTCTATAAACTTCTGCTTCTCAATCAAAGCTGGAATCTAATGTTTCTATTCAGTGAAATAAGGACAGAAAATGTCTGTTTTGAAATTAGTTTTGACTTGCCATTCATTTTGTAATGTTTGCAATTTATAAACGTAATCCCAATCAAACAGAATGCTGTTTCAATCAGAATGTGCACAAATAAAAAGCTAAGATCAGAGATCTGTCTATATTTCTGAGATCAGAGATTAATATAATGTGAAAATATTTTAAAAAGTCTAACAAAAAATGAAATCACCTCTTTTAGATAATCAATAAAAGGTTATTATCTCAAATCAACTTCATTAATTATAATATACTAATATTATCAGCTTTTCCATTTAATTTTCTGAGTGTATTAAAACAAGATATGGTTTAGCAGTTGTTTACACAATTTGTTCCTCAGCACATATACTGAGTAGATAATATATAAAGTTGTTAAAAGTTTGCTTTCAGACACATAGCTAACTCAACAAAATTGATATTCATACAAACTACAAAAGTAACAGCTTACAGGAAGTGGCTTTCCCATATATCTTGGCATAATGTTAATATTTTTATTTCTCACATTAGTTATTGTGAGCAAACTTATTTGTTATCAAAAATTCAATCTCAAATTTCAAAATCCAATGCAAATCACTCAAAATACAATTAGAACCTAAACTTAAGCATTACTATTTGTGGACAAAAATGACTACCATCAGTGGATTAATTTTTTTTTAATTTGTGTTTTAACTTAGAGTTTTCACTAACATTTAAACCTAAAATTTTATTACTTCTAGTCTGATAAAAGAAAAAATTGCAGATATTTATATGAACAATTAGATAAACTGTTAAATATTTGAAGTATGCTTTTCATCCATTTAAAGACATCTAGTACTGAAAGGCAAACATTGAATAGTTAGGATCTTAAGTTAGTTGTACAAACAATTACATTAACCACATCCATTATTGTTAGTTAATACATGCACATTTCTTCAGTTTTGCCAAGGGAAAGAGCCACTAGAAATCATTCAAGTGGTAACAGGTGTTGTTATAAGAAGCCACTTGAAGGTGAGTTGTATATTTACTGCTGTTCATTATTTCTGGATCTAGCAATTCACTGCAAGAGAGTAAGACTCTTTTTCAAGATGGAGTAAGTAATGATTTCAGGGATGCATGATGAAGTTAATAAGACATGCCAAGCTGATCGTGTTTCCTCCTTGTATGGCTGCTGGTAAATTGAATCTTTATTAAGGATGGATAGCTGGAAGAAGCCAGACTATGCTGCAGGGAGGTAACTCTTGCCAAACAACGTGCAAATGATGAAGCCAGGCAGGCAGAAAGGCAAGCAGCAAGAAATATGAAGATCATTTTAATTTATTATTATTTAGAATATTGGATCACTTATCAAAATAAAAGGTTCTTCACATCCTTGACTAAGATTTTAAGATGGAGTCAGATTAAAATTTAAAGTCTAGTGAACTTATTTTTTATGCTAGTGTTTGCAGAATGAAGCTTTCAAAATTAGAACTGATGATGGCTGTCTATCTTATATAATTTTGAGTATATGCCTTTTATAAATGTAGAGTAAAGCTAGTTGTTAATCTGGTTAAGAAAAACACCTACTATTGTTTCCCCTTTATTATGTTAAAATTATTAGACCAAGAATATTTTAGATTTTTATCCTCAAATACAAATTAGTTACTTTCTTTCCTTCTCTCTATCTATGTATTCCATCAAAATAATAGAAATTATATTGTGAGATGATAGCCAAAAACTTTTTTTTACCAATTTTATTAAAATAGACTTTATATTTTTAATTTACTTTTTAATATATTATTAAATTATTTATATATTAAAGTATTATTAAAATTTATGAGCTGCTTAAACTTTTTTTTATTTTTTATAAAAGGCAGCCTATTCACAAACTTTTAAAATTTATAATCTATTGTGTATTCATCATGACCAAAGAAATTTTAGATGCTATTGTTATTGAACATCTACAGAGTGGTAGGGAAGTCAAAGAGGGAGTTTAGAGTTGAAAGATTAAAGCATAACACTTTTGCTTTAATCTTTTACAGATTAAAAAAGGGAGGGAATAGATATATATGTGATAGAGAGAAGGAAAAGACTACTGAGAAAGTAGGATTGTATGGAATAAAGTCTTAAGTATTGCATTTCTGAGATGAAGAATGGTTACTACTCACTCTTATTGCACTAGCATTCTCATCTTTGTAGTTCTGGAAATAAAAATTTGTATGTGGAACAAGTTCATTTGCACTGAAATTTGCTCTACTAACATACCAAAGAGAAAAATTCAAGAGTGAGAGAGAGATACACACACACACACACACACACACACAAAAAAAAATTAAATAAAGATTGAGTTATCATAAAAATAAAAATAAATAAAAATAGTACCAAATCACAACCTTTCTTTTAAGTAGAAAGCAATAAATAGTTGTTATCACCATAAAAATATTATTTTTAACACTTTTTATAATTTCAATGATTAAAATTTGACAATCAGCACCACATTATTTTACTACCCAAACCCAGACAGTGCATTCAGTTACATATCAACAATCTATAATCTTGTTACAAGAAAAGAACAACTCTCACAGAACCAAATCTATACTATTCATATTTTACTACAATAAACCTATATAATTAGTTATATTTTCCCTGGCTAAATCCAACACGAGGGACTTTATTACAATAAAACAACACAGGTGCAGTGTTTGCCATTGCAAGCTTTGATGAGAAAAGCATAAATAGAATGGATAAGAATTGGTGGATACCTTGGAATGTCCAAATTGTACTGTTGCTCCATCCTCCTTGTCTCGTACACAAAATTCTGGATTCACAACGGGCGCTACAACAATTGGCTCCGGTTGTCCCCAGAAGGAATATTGACAGAACACAAAGTTTGAAAGAGCAGCAGGAAGTCCCCGGGCTTCTCTAATGGAAATCTGGGGAAACAAAGAGAAACTGAATGAGCGAACACAATCAACCAAGTGGACAATGCTTAAATAATGAAATTCTATAATAATTTCCTTTTATATATTGATGATAGAAATATAATCAATAGATTAGAAATTTCTCAGAGATTGTCATACAATGACCTCCTCTCCAGGGCATGGACACATTTTATAGATATACAGTAGCAGGCTTCAAAATGAATACTTTTTTGGTCAAATGACAAATCAGCTTTTATTATTATACTTGAAATGCATATTGATTTCTAAGAAAAAAAAAAAAAGAAGCCTGACAAATGTTGTTCCTGCAAATTAATAAAAATAGAAACATTAAACAACTAGACATTTTTTTGCAATCAAATGAAAATCCCAGATAATGAAACAACTAAAATAAATACTCTTTATCAGTGGATATTTTACAATACTTAAAATGTGAGTGTAACATCCTCAACACATAGTCAGTGATATTCTACATAACTTACATGAAGTAATCTTAAAGGAAGCAGATGTTTAACTAAACTTACAATGGTCAATTGGTTTTTATTTCAAATTTAAATCTTATAATTGTCATTATATTTATCATATTAAAAAGCAAAGCTGAATCATTTCAAAAGTTCCAAACAATTTTCAATTTTGGATAACTCATTAAAGTAAAAGCATAAAATAAAGAAAATTTAGGTTATTTGATAACTTATACCTAACAGATATACATACAGGTAGGTATTTTTCCAATTGTCATTCAATCACCTACCATTAGTCTGATATATACAACTGGCATCTCATATCTTACCTACAAGTATATATAATGACTGAGTCAAAGTGAAGTTTGAGAAGTTATGTGGTAATACTATTGGCTGTTGCAATTAAAAAATACTAACTTCTGAATCTCAAGTGTATAAAAGTAAAAATTAATTTCTAGCTGTAAATTTAATAAAAAAAAACCTCAATCTTACCAACAAATTTTTACAAAACATAATGGAAAAACCACTTTAACAATTTTCTATTTTAAAACTGCTCTATATTTAGTTAAAATTAAGTTATAGATTTGATTCTTTAAAAAAAAAAAAAAAAAACTGAACGTTTTTGAAGTACCTGCTATATACTGACTTGCAAGACATTTTATCCTTGTGCCAAAAATGGTTTCATTCAAAAAATCATTAATACACTTTGATGTCAGTTACAGAGACAAAAAAAAATGAAATGTACTTTAAGGATTAAATCAAGTTTTCTTCCAATATTTCTTTTCTTACTTCATAATCCTTTTTAATTAAGTGCAATAATGGAAAATTGCATTGCCAGAAATATTTTCATTGAAGAGTCTGAGATGAGTTATATTTAAGATCAAATTCCAAACTTTGGTTGTTCTCCAAATAGGTTTTGTCTACACTGCTTCAAAGCAATATTGTCTTAAAAGAAATTTTTAAAAAAAGTTTGATAATAGAATCTTGTTTACTTACACGAATGTAGAGTGGAACGCCAACAGCCAAATTGCTACCTTCATCATCAAAATCCAAGGCTGAAGAAGACCTTTTTGATTCATAATCACTTCCTTCAGAACTGACATCTGAGTATTTGTCCCATAAGGTGCCACACAATTTTGATATCTCCACATGGAGTTTGCCAGCAATCTGAAACAGAAAATTTTTAAGTTGTTAAGTATTAACTAATTTAATTATATATAATATGTACAATAATATACATTTGACTATTAGTACTCTATATTATTCATCTATTATTTTTATAGCTTTCTTTTCAAGATCCTTCAACTGCAGAAGCCCCACTAGCAATTTCAGTCAGGATGTTTTCTGTTGCCATAGCAGGATATGACAACACAAGCACAAAATTTAAACATCATCATTAAATGATTAGAGCTGTCTGCAGTAGGATGACAAACCTTTTGCTTGGTGAATGAAGTTAGTTACAAAGTGCTAACATATTTGTAGTAATTTTAAATATGATTTCATTTGTCACAAAAAATTAAAAGTTGAAATTAGGCATATGCAATTTACTAATATTCAGGGCTTATGTTATTGAATTATAACAAAATTTACAAATTAAATTTGTAATTAAAATGTAATGATGTATCACTTTTTAATACTGAAAGCAAAGGAAATATTAAGATATTAATATAAAAGCATTTTCTAGCAAAACATTTTCATCTTTGTTTTAAAACTGATTATATCAGGTAACAAGTGATACTAGTACCATGTAAACTAGTATAATTTGCTTCATGGCTGGGTCATTATTAACTAAACTGGTTCTCCTCCCAGGTTCTTCTGGTGAAAAGTTGGCTTGACTCCCAGCAGGTTTAAAAACAAACCATTTTGTAGTTTTGGTCTGATGAGGGCAGGTATTAAAAACTTACCTGCTGATATAAATTTATTACTGGATTTTTTGAGATGTGTCAAGTTTTTTCCTTATATATAGCATACAGTAATAAAAAAAAAAATAACAGAACTACTACATCAATCAGTTAGAGTTTTAGCAGGGAGTCTAATAAGATTTGCCATTATAACCAGACAAAAAACCCCAACCCAGCCTTACACGACTCCAAAAACTTGACATATCACAATCCTTACTTCCATCAAAGCAGTGACCCTTGATAAAGAAAAAACAAACCCTAGACCCCTCCTCCATTTCAAAACTATAAATGAGTAAAGCATTCCATGCCATAGTTATTCGAAAACAATGCTTGAGGATGAAACTGCCACCCACTAGTTAAGGTTTAATATTGGAATTAAACTTAAATACTGCTGACTAGTTTTGAAACATAGTAATTTCTGTGTTGCAATGAAATCATATTTTTAAAAAAAATAATTATAATCTAGGCTCTACTCATGTATTGAGCACTGTTTTTTAAAAATAAAAAACAAAATACTAAAGAAGTCCGGATCATCAATCTAACAGTTCTTTCCTATTATATATATATATAATAATAAAGAAGTTAATGGTCAGAGTTGAAATAGACCAGAAAACAGTAGTATTAAAAAAATGCTCAATACATAACTAAAAAGATAAAAATTTAACATGTAGAGCTTTTAAGTATTAGGAAATCAGCCGATTCCGCTACCTTGGTTTCAACATTTTGGTATCTTCAGGTGATTTCAGTCAATTGATTTCCTAACACTTTATTTTTTTAAAATAAAAAATTTATGAACACTATATTTTTTTAAAAATAAATAAATGAGTAAGCACACAACATGAAATGTGGTAAAAGGTGAGGAGTAGAAGGAGGGGAAAAGCAAATGTATTGAAAATATATTGGTGGGGAATTAAATGAAATATACATATGTTCTTTTAATCCCACTACAAATGAACTCAAAAGGAACTTTTTAGTATGAATACAATGGGACATAATTTCTGATCTCTGGTTTAAAACGTTTTTGGTCTGGAAATGTTATTATAGCTAATTTCTATTGTTGACAAAGGTTGCAGATATTGCTATAATTGTTGTATGGTTTTGATTTTTTTTTTTAAATTTCAAGTTTTTTTTGTTTTTTTTTTTTAAATATCATTCATAAATTTTTATTTTTAAAAAATAAAGTATTAGAAAATCAATTGACCGAAATCACCTGAAGATACCAAAAGATTGAAACCAAAGTAGTGGGATCAGCTGATTTCATATATATATATGTTCACCTTTGAGTAGAGAATTTGACACTTGGTGAATCTTATTAAACTGGGATAAAAAATTCCATTGAGTGTATGTGTTTCTACACTTTGAGGAATTCATATACAAAGCAATGCATCTGCTAATAAAATTATGATGTATCATAGCAAAAATGAATTATTGAGTAAACAAATTATTTTATACATAGATGGAAAACAATGGTACTTTTTTGGTACAATGTTAATACTTACATATTAAAATGCATGATAAATGCAAGGTGAATATGAACTTTTGCTTACCTCTCCTTGTTGACTGATAATTGGAACATGGTAGTCAAGCTTCACATCATAGAAGAGACATTCTAGAAAAACATTGGCAACACCAATCAGGTTGTGGTTCTCTTGTGATTCATAGAATGGGTCACCCTTGGAAGCAGTTCCATCCTACAAGACAAAAATTTGAAAAATCAATTAAAAATGAAGTTTTATTGTTTGCAAGAATAGTTTTCAAATATTTAGAGAACATAGTTTGGAGCTTACAAATAATTTTTTTGTATAGGGAAATGTTCCTTATTGTGGTCAGACAAAAACTAAAATTTCCATCTTCATTCCTTAAATAGATATTTTTTAATGTTATTTTATTTATCAAAGTTTAGTTATATGAAACCTATGTCTTGTAAATTAAGTGTGCAACATAAGTTTAAGATCATTAAAAAATTCTATTTTCTAGAGAGGGATTTATAAACAGTTTTCCATGGAAGGCAAATTTTATTTTTATTTTAATTTTTCACCAACTGAATCTTTCTGAGGTTACTATAAAGCTAAGTGGATAGTTAATACTTAATTCAATAAATTAATTTTTGTTGAACATATCAAAACCATACTTTATAACATTTTAAGTGATACAATAAAAAAATAACTTAAATAATAAATATGACAGTAACCAATCAAGAAGAAATATTCTGAAACTAATTTCATTTTAATATAGTTATTAAATGTTACATTAGCATCCATTTTACATTTCAATAACTAGATAAAAAATATTGCTGAGCGCGCACGCATGCACGCACGCACGCACGCACACACACAACACTGGAGCAAAAACAAAAATAAATCAAGTATCAAGCAGAATATAAAGACAGCATCATGCAATATAGGATGAGAAAATTTGCAGGCTGAAAATAACATAAGATAATAAATATGATTATGAAGGTTACAATAGAGTTATTATCTTATACTTCAGTTGATAACATAAAATTCCAAAAAAATCATCTTTAATCCCAAATCTGTTTTATACAAAATAAAAAATTTAATATTACTGTATGCTAATAACTACCTAACAAAAATGATGATGATGGTATTAATGATGATGGCACAGCAAACAAATAACATTATTTGTTTTCTTAAATATGAGATATTGTTAATTATTCTTTATAATTAATATTTTTTAAAGGTAACTGATATAAACGTTGGTGATTTAAAGAGTACAATTGTTATTTCATTGAAATTAATACATAAATTATGTACTGTTCTTGTATTGAGTTTCAATATAAATGTAGGCATAAAACGCTAATAAGCCATTGCAATTGGATAACAAGCTTTTGTATATAAAGTTTATGATAAGATACACAAACATGTAAAACAACACATAACTTCAAGTTTACATTAGAGGATGAGAGGGTAGAAGTCCCCCTGCCAAATGAAAAGAAAAGTGAAGTAACTTACAAAAGCTTTTTGCTTTGTAGTATATAGAAGAAAACAGTGCACACACTAATAATGGTAGATATGAAAAAATAGGGAATAGTAAAAGAAATCATAGTAAGGCATCATAATGGCTTGCAGAGATGCTAGAAGCATTAAACAAAAATATAATATTGATGACAATTTACAGCAGAGTGTGACCAGTTATTCAGTTTACAACAACACTAATGACAATGACAACAAAGATGACCCCATCCCACAAGTATACTTATTTACTTATTTTCAAGTAAAAATTCATTAGAGCATGAAAATGCTCAAAAAATTGTCTCCCTTTCCCTATAAATCCTCTCTCTTTTTTTCAATAAGGAGGTATAGTTTTGTTATATCATATGATTACTTCAACATGAATGACAGATAAATTACAAATAATTCTTATAATTTATATGTAAATCCATATGAAAAATAAAGCCTTTTCTTTTATGCCAATACAGCAATTAATAAGCTATCAAACAAGATAATTTTATTTGCATTATTTTATGAATATACACAAAATTTGACTCAAATCCTGCATAATATTAAAAATATATTTTAAGATATAACAGCCAAAAATTTATAAAACTTTGAATAGAATAATTTTCTTCATTTTACACCCAATAAATTCAATTATCCATAGAACTTTTAAGATTTCCTTAATTGGAAGTGTAAACCAAAACAGAATGGAAGTAAATTTTGTCAGAAGCTATTTGAAAACAAGTAAGAATAATAAAAAGGCTGCCTATTTCTAGGTATGTAACGGAATCCTAACATTGACAAACCATTGAGAAATGTTAATTTTGAGGAGCTTTTATTCAACATATAATCACAAATTGAAGGATATGCTTTTATCTGATCCGTTTTTTTTTTTTACTGATAATGTTCAGAATTTTACTTGCACAGAATTTAAAAAGAAAAATTGAATATTTAATGAAAGAACATTCCTTGTATTCTATTGCATTTTACTGCTGAATATATCAAATTTACTCTTGAATATAAAATAGTTATTGAAACTTTGATTCTGAAAAAAAAAGAAGAAATTGACATACTTTATTGAAAGAAAGATGATTACTTATTTTTTCTAATCATTGCCCTCTATCTGCTTTTATCAATTCCAACCATCAAATATAAACATATAGAATTTGGCTGTTTCTTATTTCATATAAATATCTTGTTACATGTGTGAGTGCATGTGACTGTATATAGTGTATATAATCAAGTGTATTGATAAACATACTAGTAATATATATGTATATTCAAATGGATGTATACTTGGTTACAATGTATATGCATAGCATGTACATTTACATATAAAAGTGTGACTATATATATATATATATATATATATATATATATATATATATATATATACACACACAAAAAACATTTAAATTTGAAATACAAAATTCCTATATATATATTTATATATATATATATATATATATATATATATATATATAGATATAGGTTTTGTTGTTTTTTTTTGTGTGTATATTGAAAATTGAATCTCCCATCCTAAAGATGACACACAAGCCATGCACAAAGCAAACACAGACCCAGTTAGTATCACTTTCTTCATGTACCATCAGAGGGAGTTCCAAACTTTTGCGTTCATCATACAGCTCTCGCATGTCAATGATTTTGTTTTCAAACTTCTCCATTGACCAGATCTGGCTATTGTGGCCCTTACGTTTCACCAAAATAGCTGGCTCACTTACAAATGCTCCTCTCTGAAAAACAATAAAAAAAATTAAATAAAGCATTGCTGGAGTATAAGTATATTTTATCAAAGCTCAACTGGTGTATAAAAACATCAAACAAACCTGAAGGTTTAAAAGGTTTAAAAAAATCACCAAAGAATCTTATTAATTAGCGTTATTGTTTTTTTCTATTATTTTTACTACAATTATTAAAATACTGACTTAAAGAAGAAAAAAAGAATATTATTGTTATTTTTTCTTTTCTGCATTATTATATACAAATTATAATCTACTTTGAATTTCTCAGTAAAAGAAAAATCATAGGATTTTTCATTGTTTTTATGATATGGTTGCCATTATTAAATTTAGTATATTGTAGGTGTCCTAACTCACTATTAACATTTCAACAAATGCACTAATTGAAGGACTAGTACAATTGACATATTGTTTATAAAAAAGTTTCTCTCTCTCACACTCATACACATGTGTGTGTGTATGTGTGTGTGTGTGTATATATATATATATATATGATGCCTCATCAATAGCATGACTTGGAGATTTATGCACAATGCAATTTTCAGGTACTGAGTATATGTGCTACATATGTGTATGTGTAAAATTTTATATAGAGTATATCTGTAAAAGGACATTTAAAAAAAAACAAATTGAAAACTTATTTTAGCTGATATGTTTCATTCTCATTTGCCTTGATAAAGACCCCCAGAAGATGAACCACATCAGCTAAGATAAGTCTTGCATTGTCTTTATTCACACACACACACACACACACACATAGCAGAAGTAATCATATAAGAATTATCTTCAGGAAATTCTTATTTCATACAATTTTTGTTAGTAAATATAGAAATGTCTCAAGAGGAATTTTAGTAACAGTGAAATGTAAGAGAAATGTGACAAAATAATATCAAAGAAGGGAAGAGTAAAAGGTTCATATAAGCAAACGAAGAGTCATTAGTAAATTGGTCTACAAGTGTCTTAACTTTATCATATATTGTTCTATTCCTCCACAAAAATCTCAGTATTATAATAAATACATGTGACAAATAATTTTTTTCATATGATAAACTAAGTGACATAATCAGAAAATCATACTGATTTTTTTCACTAAAATTAAAATTTTCGGTGGATGATGAAATCCAATAACAACTATTCAACAGGTGGCAGCTATTATATATAAAAATAGAAACAAAAGAAATAATTAAACAATAAATGAAGTAGTGTATTTAAGAATACTTATAAAAAAATATACTCATCAATATTTGAAATTACAGAAAAATATTGCAAACTAGATTTTTTGGAAAAATGGAAATTTGCAATAGAGATTGTTTCAGTAACAAGGCAGTTTATAGATAAGGAAGTGACCACCAAGTAAAAACAAGTTATACAATTTATTAGAATTTATTTTTAAAAAGAAAAAGAAAAGAAAATAGGTAGCTTTCAAAAGCCAAGGAAATTATTAATATGTAATAATATATGTGAACTAAATAAATATTAAAAAAATAACTAACACAATGATAATCAATTTAAAACTCAAGAATAAATTTTCTATGAAATAAAAAATACAATGTACTTTTGAGGAGAAATATTACAAAAATCAAACTATTATAACTAGCTAATTTTAGAAAGAAAGTTATACCTAAATGACACCATTATGAATTAGTAATAATTATAAAAATTACTTTCAAGAGAAACAAATGATAGTAGCTTTTGTAAAAAGTTTTTCTCTAGTTATCAGAAGCAGCAAGTGGTGATAATAAGGGTCACAAAATAATAAAATAGAAAAATCAACCCAAACCCTTTTTTTAGCAAGATTCCAGCAATTTTCTTTGCATAGATATATTTTTGCCTGTTCTCTCTAAATATTGCTTTATATTGCATAACTTTTGGAACCATGAAGAAAGTAAATTTCTTTTTTTAGGTATAGAAAAATATTAAAAAAATAATAGACATACAAAAAACATTTTAAATATAGGAAGATATGTTAGTTCATATAAACTAACCAGTAGGCAAATTTCTTTTTCCTTCCAGATCTCTATGGTATTATTTTAAAAAGTAATTTTTCTGCTCTATTTGTCAAAAAATTTGCTCAAATAATTTCTAGATATTTATTTCTCATGACTTTTAATGATTACTGATTCTGCCAAAAATATAATATAAGTGTATCCCCACCCCAAGTATCATGGTTAATTAAAAACTGACAATATCTGCATCCACAGAATTGGGAAAAGTGATTTTCCATTTTGAATCACTAGACTTGGAATATTTTACCTCTGACTGCAAAATATATAAATTTATGACACATTTTTCCCTAAAGCGAATAACAAGTGAGGTTCCCCTCAGAATGCTAACCTAATTGTAACAGTTGTAGCACTTTGAGATAAGAAGAGTAACTCTAAAATCCATCTTGAAAACCACTACTACCACTGTTATCATTCTTATAGACAGAGAATAGAACCAAGTGGTAAAAATGTCAGGGTAATAGCACAGCATGTCAGCTTATGGCCACCAGCAAGATAGGGAAAAGTATTCACCTCTCTTGATTCTTTCCAAGACAAAATTTATGGATTTTTCATTAGTAAAATGATAATATCTGCTGTTCTATCATGTGTGGAATTGCAGAGAATGATACTATTTTTCATATAAATGTTGTACACTGACCACAAATGTTGGAGGAATAAGCAGTGAGATAATGTTTTTTTGGTTTTTCCTAAAACTACTTTAAAACACATTTTCAATTGTCAAATGTGACTATTTGGAGTTTCATTGACAGAATCTTCAGGAAGGCCAAATCCATCAAGCATTCACAAAACTGTAACCAGTTAGATAATAAAATGGAATTTTCTTTTTATTCTCTTTAACCTTTATCATTGTTTGTGATTTCATTTGATGTACAAAAAGTTTATTCTGCCACTGAAGGTGACTCTGATCCTTGAACAATAGTGTTTTAATATGATAGTTGTATTGTCATATTCTACTATGGCAACAGAAAATAAGTTTGAGTGAAATTAACAATAAGGATACTGCAATTGAGAGGCCTTAAAAAAGAATGCAGTGGAAAGGGAAGTAATATTAATAATGCAGTGTGCCAATGTTGCCAGAAAGCTGATTGTTTTTCTAAGAAAACAATAAGTACATATATTAAAGAGAATTTGCATCCAAACTGAGAAGCATTAATATAAGCAAAAGGATTTGTTTATTTTTTAAAACACTTAATGATTCTATTACCATCATTCAAATCTAACTATCCACAAAGCCTTTTTAATTAAAATAAAAATGAGTCCATTGGCTATTATTCTCTAAATTGTATCTAATATTCTGAAAACATCTTAGTTAACTAATGCTTAGATAAGATATATAATTGTTACTATTTTCATAATCTTTCAAGTGCATTAAATCTCTTAATCTAGTAGAAAGGAAAAATCTGTGTCCAGTGATATTTCATAGCCAAATTGATTCAATCTTATGATGGAAACCAAATGCAGAATTTATTTGTCCTCCATTTTAAGATCAACTTCATTAATGAAACACTGTATTCTTCTGAAAAGTTAAAATAAATTTGTTATAACTTTATTAAAGATTGATTGTAAAAATAAAAACATGTCTCTGGAGAAAAGTAAATTCGAAAGAATAAACTTTTAATGAAATTTGTTTCTTATTCTATTTCATGAAACACTAACCACAATTCAAAAACTTTAACCAAATAAATTCCTAACAGCTGAAATGAATTTCATTTCTGAGATACATTAGGAATTGCTAAATTCATTTTTAGATATTGTATTTTTCATTGTAGTTGATGTCATAAATGAATAAATTTACTATCCACTTTTGCTTAACTAGTGAGTTTACATAAACAGTTACTAGTTTGTGTTAGTTTTCTTGAAAGATAGAAAACAAGCTTAATTGGTCTTTAATTTATTGGAACATGCAGGCTCTATCATTTAGTTCTTCTCTGTAAGAAAAACAAAATGAAAACTGTTATATCTTCAAAAAAACAAAATGTAATGAAAATACATTTCTATGCTTCTTAAACAGAATTATCATCATAGTACACAACTGTTCATATTTTTATAATTATGCTTTGCAAAATGTTTCCCTGGAAACAAAACATCTCAACTTGATACCTAATGCATAATTTGTACCAATTGAATAAATCTCAACCATTTAATTACTCTTGATAATTACTCCTAAAAATGGTTGAAGAATCTATCAAAATCAATTACAATGAGAAAAGTGTGTAAATGTCAACATCTCTATGAACTTAAAACAAGTCATTATCAGTTCTATTAAGTGAAACATCTTTAAAGTAAAATAACTAAACTGAATACTTAATAATTTTTAAATAATAATACATATAGATCTCTATATGTATAAAAATATCAATGCAACATCTATTAAAAGATATTGATATGAATTCATAAATCTCATCTTACCTATGTAGAAATTGAAATCAATATATTTGTGGATGCATGAATACAATGTGTGTGTGTACATTCACACACAAGAAATTGCCTGCTATTCCAGAAGGAATTTTGTATTCAAGTAAGAAATATAAATTCTTTGTCAGTTTTGGTTATTGCAAAGGCATTTATATCTCTATGCCGTAATAAACAAAAGATAGAAAATAAATCTCAATCAAATGTAAAAGTACTTCAAACATTGCACAACACCAAATCTTATTCAGAAGAAAATTGCATCAACAATTCTCTTTTGCCGATAATGTAAGAAGTTAATCTAAAGCAACAAGCTCCATTTATATGAAACATAGATCTTATATAAGGAAGGAAAAGAAAAGTTGCTAGCTACATTAATGCAAATACTAATAAAAAAATTGCTGTGATCTTGTAATTAAATCAACACTTTTGGTAAAGAAAACAACAGAAACGAAACCAAAAAAACAAAAAGGAAAATGTTCAATATTTCTCTTGTTATTTTTCACCTCAATCTATAAAAGAAAAAAAGTTTTACAGAAACAAGTTAAAATACAATATTAAAATGTTATTTTTAAAAAA